TAGCAACCACTCAGAACTCCCTAGTAACCACATAGCAATGCCTTAGCAACCACTGGGAACACTTTACCAACTGCCTATCAACGCCTTAGCAACCAATCCGAACTCCCTAGCAACCACTAAAAACACTTTAATAACTGCCTATTAACACCTTATCAACCCCTCAGACCTCCTTAGCAACCACCTAGCAATGTCTTAGCAACCACCTAGCAACCAATGAGAACACCTTAACAACCCTAACACCTTAGCAACCACTCAGAACTCACTAGCAACCACCAAACAATGCCTTAGCAACCACAGATAACTACCTAGTAATCACGTAGCAATGCCTTAGCAACTACACAGAACTCCTTAGCAACCATCTAGCAAAGCCTTAGCAACCACTGAAAACACTTTAACTGCATATTAACACCTTAGCAACCACACAGAACTTACAAGCAACCACCTAGCAATGCCTTAGCAACCACTGAAAACCCTTTAACTGCCTATCAACGCCTTAGTAACCACTCAGAACTACCTAGCAATTACCTAGCAATGCTTTAGCAACCCCTCAGAACACCTTAACAATTGCCTATCAACGCCTTAGCAACCACTGAAAGCACTTTAACTGCCTATAATCGCTTTAGCAACCATACAGAACTCCTTAGCAACCACTTAGCTATGCCTTAGCAACCACTAAAATTCCTTTGACAACTGCCCATTAATGCCTTAGCAACCCCTCAGACCTCCCGAGCAACCACTTAGCAATGCCTTAGCAACCACTGAAAACACTAACAACTGCCTATCAACACCTTGACAACCCCTCAGACCTCCCTAGCAACTGCATAGCAACCATTTATAATATCTGGTAAACTGTACAGGCCGTGTCAGAGCTCAGTCCTCCGGCTGGCTGTTCTGAATCCTCCAACAGTATGCAGTATGCAGCCGTCATGATGCAGGCTGAGATCGCATCCCTCAGCGATGCAATGTCAGACACAATGCAGTCAATGGAGCTAGTGACATCCCTGTGAGGGGTGGGGTTAGGTGAGCGCATTAAAAAGCATTGCATGCAGCTCAGATTGCACTGCACCAGCTCTGCAGCCAGAGCCCTCTCCTGAACGCAGCAGCAGTGAGTGTGTGATCTTCAGCATCTGCAGCTGACGCCGTGCTGCATCTCCTGGGCTGGTGGAGAGTGCTGAGGAGATGAACATGTGTGGAAACCGCTTAAACACATGAGATCCTCGATTACTGCCACAGGAGAGCGGGACATGATCACAGCGCTCACACGAATGATCGATCAGTGCAGTTACAGTCATGTCCACATCCTGACTCTGCTGTTCCAGCTGACTGTGTGCCGGCAGAGCTCTACCATCAGCTGCTGCCCGACAGCAGAACATTCAGCATCAACAAACGAACACTGCACTCCTATAGGCTAATATTAAACTCTCCGAGAATATCTGTCCAGCTGATCTCCAGGTCTGCAGGAGCACTATTAGCTTAGCTTAGCATAGATCACTGAATCGGATTAGACCGTTAGCATCTCACTCAGCTGTGACAGTTTTCTTTAAATCTCTTTAAAACTGTCACCTCACTGGTTTGAGTCTCGGCTGGGTCAGTTGGTGTTTCTGTGTGGAGTTTGCATGTTCTCCCCGTGTTGGTGTGGGTTTCCTCCGGGTGCTCCGGTTTCCCACAGTCCAAACACATGCGCTATAGGGGAACTGATCAACTACACTGGCCGTAGTGCATGAGTGTGTGTGTGTAGTCCAGGATCAGCTCAGAGTTCGGCTCCTGAGGGAACACTGCTGCAGCACCGCAGCTCTCCACTAGAGGGAGCCCGAGAGTCTCCGCCAGCTGCGTCCTCTCCTCAGCGTATGTCTCGCAGCTGTTCAGTGATCAGTAGTCAACAGTTCTGTTTAAAGAGACCGCAAATGCTGTTGTTCAGTAGTTTGAGGAGAGCTGTGCGGATACAGGCCGGTTCACTGCTCATGTTCACTACTGCCGTGTGCTGAGCTCTGCGTCTGCTCGATTGCTCTGGCCTGTGCGCGGTCTGCTGCTCCTGGTTTCTGCGCTCGGCTGCTTCAGTCTGATGAAGATGGCGGCCATGTGCTCTGCGCTCCGTGTGTGTCGCGGGATCCTGAAGGAGATCCGCTCCGCCAAGGGCTCCGGTTACCGACACTCTCCCGTTTACCAGTATGTGCTGCAGCAGTTCCGGAAAAACCAGGTAACGGCGACGACTGCGCATGAGCGATAACTAAGAGCCACAGAAATGACTTATTGTGAGACCTAGAGAACTGCGCACTTCCCCCGCTGTCTGTCTAGGGCACTCAGTAGTGTGTGCAGCTATGATGTAGTGTGTGTAGCACTAGTGTCCTCCACATCTCGTCCTTCTGTTGTGTTCTGCGGTGATTTCTGTCTGTTTTAGCTGGGATAACTCTGATCAATCAGCGGAGTGATATATGGAGCTGTAATGCGCTCTGAACCTGCCGGAACTACTTTAGCTATTTGTTTACATTTTTATTGATTTAAAAAACAATAAAACTAAATATAAATGTAACTAGTGATGTACATATCATTAAATAAACCAAAAGTAAAAGCAGAAAACCAGAGGGAAAGTGTTTAAGATGATTTCTTCCACGTTTTTAAAGACAATTTTGGCTTTTAGTAAAATAGTTTGGTTGTTTTCTGCACATTAAGCATAAAATACATGACTTATAGTCAGACCCACACGGAATCTGCGCGCGCAGATGTTTAGGCCATCATTAATTCTGTTTATTTACTTGAGTAAATGTGTGTAAATCTATATTTATTCCGTTTTTAAATGAATTATTACAGTGATGTTATTGACTAATGTGATAATGTTGATCTGATCTATGTGCAGTGCGGTGTGTGTAGGCATATTCTCTGTCGTTTACTAGAGATATTATCTGAGAGACTTGCTTTGTTCACTAATAAAAGTGGATGTAATTGAATTTGCATTTTAAACATTAAATAAAAGTTTAAAAGTTATTATTTTTTATGTTATATATTCAGGTTTTAGTTATGATACTCCCAAAATAATTATACAGAAATTCGCAGATTTTTACCAAAATTCTCCACAGAAATAGTAAAAACCGTCCGCAGACTCCGTCTGGCCCTAGCTATAGTCAGCTTGAAGAAGGGCAAGTGTGTGAGTGTGAATGAAACGCGTCCCCATTAGGGCTGCAGGATTAATCGTATTAGATGATATGTGTGGCGCATGATCAATAATTTAATATGGTGGTGATTTTACAGTGTAAAGATCAAGCCGTTATTTTAATGGGCGGAGTTTACGGACTGTACCACTTCACAAGCATGAGGTGACTGCGTCTATTGCCAGTGTGTTTGGAGGAACGCCATGTTGATCAGGCAGCCTCATCTCCTGTCCAGTCCAAACATCCCAGAGTAACACAACAAACCTCATGAACCACCTAAACACCAGCACAGAGTGTGTTATATTCACAAAAAATTTTCACGTGCACAAAATAAAAATACATTTTCATAAAATACGTTTCACAAATGCAAAACACCATTGGCAAATGTATAAGAGTGAACAAAAAGTTTTAAATGTTTAAAACTTGCGAGTTCATCCTGAATGAGATGTGCAGATCCTCTTTCACGTACGACTCCCCCTGCATGAGTGTGTGTGTTTCTGAGACTCTCCTGCCAGAGGCAGGGCAACTCGTACCTTTCAGCCAATCAGATGAGAGCTGTAGTCGATGACACCACCTCTGTGCTCTATTTGCGCAGACTGTTCCTCTCCAGCATGGTGAATGGAGAAAGCAGGAGTCGCTCTTTATTAATTTATTTATTTATCTGACCATATCCTCTCTCTTTTTATCCATTATTTTGCCGCAGCTCCGCTCTTCTCATTTATTGTCTCGCAGCCCTGTGAGGTGGCCTGCAGGGTAACGGTGAGGATTCGGTATTATTCCGGCCACACAAGCAATTAGAGTGCTATAGTGGTGCAGTGGTCAGCACGTTGGGTTTGATCCTCTGTGAGCTGGATAAGTGTGTGTGCTACGGTTAATGTAACTGTGTGTGTGTGTGTGTGTGTGTGTTTCAGGTGACGGGCGCTCAGCTGTGCCGTGCTCAGATGGAGTCTCTGCACGCTGCGGTCTCCTACAGGTGTCTGCTGGCCTCCACTCGCCTCCACCAGCGCCTCCACCTGCAGTATCACGCACGCGGGGAACACACACCACAGCAGGCCGCCGCGCTTGTGGGGCTGCGCATGCCCAACCAACCCGGCGGCAAGGGCTGGGAGACATGAGCTGACCAACAGAGCTGTGTGTGTGTGTGTGTGTGTGTGTGTGCGTGTGTGTGTGTGTGTGTGTGTGTGTGTGTGTGTAACATAATGCTGTTGTTCTTCAAATAAACACTTTAATGTCGCTGACTCTGATGACGGTCTGGAGGCTTCATATGTGTGGATGTAGATTATGTCCAAACCTGTGATCAAAGCTGAACATACAGCCGGTCCACACTTACAGCATTTATAAACTCTGCAGCTGAAATCCTGGATTAAAACTAATTTAGTGATTATGATTAGGATTGAGAATATATATATATACACACACACATGCACAATGGCCACTTTATTAGGTACACCTGCCCAACTGCAAAGTGAGCATCAGAATGGGGAAGAAAGGGGATTTAAGAGACTTTGATCGTGGCATGGTTGTTGCTGCCAGACGGGCTGCTCTGAGTATTTCAGAAACTGCTGATCTACTGGGATTTTCACGCACAACCATCTCTAGGCTTTACAGAGAATGCTCCGACAAAGAGGAAATATCCAGTGAGCGGCAGTTCTGTGGGCGCAAATGCCTTGTTGATGAGGCCAGAGGTCAGAGGAGAATGGCCAGACTGGTTACAGCTGATAGAAAGGCAGCAGTAACTCAAATAAGCACTCGCTACAACCGAGCTCTGCAGAAGAGCATCTCTGAACACACAACACGTCCAACCTTGAGGCGGATGGGCTACAGCAGCAGAAGAGCACACCGGGTGCCGCTCCTGTCAGCTAAGAACAGGAAACTGAGGCTACAATTCACACAGACTCACCAAAACTGGACAATAGAAGATTGGAGAAACGTTGCTGCTCTGATGAGTCTTCATTTCTGCTGACACATTCGGATGCTCGACTCAGACAACATGAAAGCATGGATCATCCTGCCTTGTATCAGCGGTTCAGGCTGGTGGTGGTGGTGTAATGGTGTGGGGGAGATTTTCTTTGGGTCCATTAGTACCAATTGAGCATCAACGCCACAGCCTACCTGAGTATTGCTGCTGACCATGTCCATCCCTTTATGAGCACAGTGTCTCCATCTTCTGATGGCTACTTCCAGCAGGATAACGCAGCATGTCATAAAGCTCAATCATCTCAGACTGCTGAACATGACGATGAGTTCACTGTACTCAAATGGCCTCCACAGTCACCAGAGCTCAATCCAATAGAGCAGCTTTGGGATGTGGTGGAACGGGAGATTGGCATCATGGATGTGCAGCCGACAAATCTGCAGCAACTGTGTGATGCTATCATGACAATATGGAGCAAAATGTCTGAGGAATATTTCCAGTATTGTGAGTCGGGCCTCATCATAGTATCTCAGAGGGTCCAGAAGTGTGCGGGTCCCTATAATGCCCCCGGCTGTGCCCCGGTCAGACTAAATGAAGGTTTAGCGTCTGGATGAGCTGGTGTGGACGTGGTCTCCTGATGAGTGCCGTGTGGTCAGCAGCATTAGGCAGAGCTGGATCAGCAGGGATGGAGGAGTCTCCACTGGAGCTGCACACTGCTGATGCGCTCATGAACACACTAGTGCTGGCAGTGTCAGTGTGTGTTGAAGGTTACCACTCACTGACTTAAACCAACTCATTTAATGTCTCTAAAATTGAGTATAATGACATGGCTATGACACAGGTATAACTGAAAGCAGGTGAAATATGGGGACACTAGTGACGTCCTCACTTCTCAAAATGCTTATAAATCCTACAGGATGAGTTTAATCAGAGAGTAAAGCTGCACACTGACTCCTGTGATGGTTGGGTTTAGGGGTGGGGTGAGGGCAATACAATATACGGTTTATACAGTATAAATGAATGGAAACCTATGTAATGTCCCCACTTTTCACAAAAACGTGTGTGTTTTGTGAACTTGTAATGCGTGTGTGTGAACAGATGTGAACAGAAACTGAGAATAGAAGAGATTTATTGGATAGAAACACACACGCGCACACACACACACACACACACACACAGCTGATCTACTCCATCATCATCACTATATTATCAAAAGGAATTTACAGAACCGTCTCGCGTGCACACACACACACACACACACACACACACACACACACACACACACACACACACTGCAGGATTAAAACAGAGCAGAAGAGTTAGTTGAACTGGTTAGCTAGTTAGCGTCTGCACTGGAGATGGAGGTCAGGGGTCAGCTGGAGGTCAGGGGTCAGCTGGAGGTCAGGGTCTCCTCAGTTGTTCTTCTTTTCTGGATTCTCCGGAGGGAAATATGGAGGAGGCAGATCCTGAACAGCAGAACACACACACACACACACTTTAACATCCACTGCTCAGAGCTGGGTGATACAGCAAAATAACTGGCCACACAATGATCAGTGAATGTTTCCAACAGCTCATCCTGCAACCCTTCTGACTGAGCAGCATTATTAACAGTGAAACCTCTGACCTCTTCATAATAATGAACAGAAGAGCTGAAGAGACTCTTACATCTGATCAGTGCCATGCTGAAGTGTGTGTGTGTGTGTGTGTGTGTGTGTGTGTGTGTGTGTGTGTGTGTGTGTGTGTGTGTGTGTCTCACCGAGGGCATGTAGACGCTGTGAGGGTTGCTGGGATTGTAGAAGGCGCTGCTAGCTGCTTCCGCTGCTTTAGCATTAGCCGGAGCCACTGAGCACAGAGGAGGAGAGAGTTAGCGTTAGCAAACACACACGTGGGCGGGGCTTCGTTGGATCTCACATGAGTCACTCCAGTGAACACCAATCAGAGAAGAGCTGACCCTGAAGAGGGCGGAGCTTATAGAATAAACAATAAGAACTGATGGAGCCACACCTGGAAGAGCGGCCCAATCCTGCGGGGGGCCGGGATACGGAGGAGGCGGAGCCATGTAGACCGGCGCGCTGGGATACACACCTGCGCACACACACACTTACACATCAGAACACTCACACACACATACACACACACGCAGAGGAGAGTGAGGGAGTGTGCTGTACCTGCCGCAGGGGCGTATGGGTATTGGCTGTACGGGGCCTGAGGCATGCTGGGATACGGGTACGGCTGCGGCATTGCTGGACTGGCGTATCCGTTCATCCCTGCAGCCAATCCAAACGCTCCGTTCTGAGCGGGAGGAGCCCGAGAGGCTGGAAACACAGACAGAAGATCACACACACACACACACACACATACACACACACACAGACAAGAACAGGTGATGAAGAAGTGTGTGTGTGTGTGTGTGTGTGTGTGTGTGTGTGTGTGTGTGTGTGTGTGTGTGTGTGTGTGTGTGTATACCGTTGGTGGCCAGTTTGAACAGGTGTTGTCCGAGCTCAATGGCTCCACCGCTGGGGAACGACAGCTTGAAGCCGGCCTGACCCTCCCATCCACCTGCACACACGCACACACACACACACACACACACACACACACACACACACACGAACACACACACACACACGAACACACAGGGAAAGAAAATGTGACAGTGCACAAGGTTTGGGTTGATTATTTCTGAATGATCTGCAGCAAAATAGTGCAGTGTAGTGTAGTGTGGGTGCAGCAGGTGCATGCTGGGTAGTGTAGTGTAGTGTAGTGTAGTGTAGTGTAGTGTAGTGTGTGTGTGTGTGTGTGTGTGTGTGTGTGTGTGTGTGTGTGTGTGTGTGTGTACCTCCGGCCTCCGCCTTGATCAGGCCCTGGATGAAGTTAGCGGAGAACACCGGCTGCTCAATGCTGCAGTTCTTCATCAGGTAATACGGGAACATGAAGGAGCAGAACTTCTCCTTCATCACACTGCTGACGAACACCAGCTGCACACACACACACACGCGCGCACGCACACACACACACACACACGCGCGCGCACGCACACACACACACACACACACACGCACACACACACATAAACACAAACACACAGACGCATGTTAAACTGGTTTGGGTGGGTTTAGGACTAGTTAAACTGTGGTTAAGCTGGTTTGTGTTGGTTCTGGACTAGTTAAGCTGTGGTTAAGCTGGTTTGTGTTGGTTCTGGACTAGTTAAACTGGTTAAGCTGGTTTGGGTGGGTTCTGGACTAGTTAAGCTGGGGTTAAGCTGGTTTGGGTGGGTTCAGGACTAGTTAAACTGTGGTCAAACTGGTTTTGGTGGGTTCAGGACTAGTTAAACTGTGGTTAAGCTGGTTTGTGTTGGTTTTGGTCTAGTTAAGCTGTGGTTAAACTGGTTTGTGTTGGTTCTGAACTAGTTAGGTTGTTGTTTAACTGGTTTGTGTAGGTTCTGGACTAGTTAAACTGTGATTAAACTGGTTTGGGTGGGTTCTGGACTAGTTAAGCTGTGGTTAAACTAGTTTGTGTTGGTTCTGAACTAGTTAGGCTCTTGTTTAACTGGTTTGGGTGGGTTCAGGACTAGTTAAGCTGTGGTTAAACCGATTTGGTTGTGTACTGGACTAGTTAAGCTGTTAAAACTGGTTTGGGTGGGTTCAGGACTAGTTAAGCTGTGGTTAAACTGGTTTGTGTCGGTTTTTGACTAGTTAACTTGTGGTTAAACTAGTTTGTGTTGGTTTTGAACTAGTTAGGTTGTTGTTTAACTGGTTTTTGTTGGTTCTGAACTACTTAGGCTCTTGTTAAACTGGTTTGGGTGGGTTCTGGACTAGTTAAGCTGGGGTTAAGCTAGTTTGTGTTGGTTTTGGTCTAGTTAAGCTGGGGTTAAGCTGGTTTGTGTGGGTTCTGGTCTAGTTAAGCTGTGGTTAAGCTGGTTTGTGTGGGTTCTGGACTAGTTAAGCTGGGGTTAAGCTGGTTTGTGTGGGTTCTGGTCTAGTTAAGCTGTGGTTAAGCTGGTTTGTGTGGGTTCTGGACTAGTTAAGCTGGGGTTAAGCTGGTTTGTGTGGGTTCTGGTCTAGTTAAGCTGTGGTTAAGCTGGTTTGTGTGGGTTCTGGTCTAGTTAAGCTGTGGTTAAGCTGGTTTGTGTGGGTTCTGGTCTAGTTAAGCTGTGGTTAAGCTGGTTTGTGTTGGTTCTGGTCTAGTTAAGCTGTGGTTAAGCTGGTTTGTGTTGGTTTTGGTCTAGTTAAGCTCTGGTTAAGCTGGTTTGTGTGGGTTCTGGTCTAGTTAAGCTGTGGTTAAGCTGGTTTGTGTGGGTTCTGGTTACCCGGTACTGGGTGAGGTAGACGGAGCCCTTCTTGGTGCCCTTGAACAGGTCGTTCTTAGGTGTGACGTCGCTGAAGGAAAGCTCCACATTCTTACACTCTCGCAAGATGCTGAGAAACAGGGTGAAGACAGGAAGTGATGTCAGAATGGGAAATTAGAAAACAACCAGTGTTTCTCAACACACACACACACACACACACACACACACAGTTCCTGCTGCAATCACCCACACTGAGCGAGATGTGAGAACACTCTTATAAGCAGATTAAAGGGCAGTTCACACAGCAATGGTCATGTTCATCTCATTATTGAGCTCAATCCTTCATGAGTTTCTGTTTCCTGTTCAACACTAGAGGAGATGCTTTGAAGAATGCTGGAAACCCGTAACCCCTGACTGCCCTAGCAGAATCAACATACACTGTGTACATCAGTGCTGACAGGTTTCCAACATTTCTCAAAACATCTCCTTCAGTGTGTGAACAGTTAGCAGTAAGCGTGAGCACATGTTGACATTTCTCCATTAGTGTGTGAGCTGCCCCTTTAACACAGCAGCACAGATTAAACACAACTGAGCACAAGGAATGAACACACCACACGAAGAGTACATGTTGTGTGTGTGTGTGTGTGTGTGTGTGTGTGTGTGTGTGTGTGTGTGTGTGTGTGTGTGTACAGTATGTAGTGTCAGCTCTCTCTCGTGTGTTATATCATGTGTTACGTGTGTGTGTGTGTGTTTGCTGTATGACGTGTCGTGAGTGCCTTGTGTCTGTGTGTGTTCTAGTTAGCGGTCAGCTCTCTCTCTCTCTCTTTCTGTGTGTGTGTGTGTGTGTGTGTGTGTGATCTAGTCAGCCGTCAACTCTCTGGTGTGTTTAAGTGTGTTCTAGTCAGCAGTCAGCTCTCAGGTGTGTGTGTGTGTGTGTGTGTTGTTGTTGTTATTGTTGTACCTCTCTCCGGCCTGGATCAGCACTCCGCCGTTCGGGTGGTGGTTTCGGTTGAGCGCCATGTCTGTCCGCTGGTCACTCTGGGTTAAGGCGGATGTTGTCGATCCTCTGATTATTGATGGAGTGTTGATGAAGTCCGACACTGACAGTTAACACACACACACACACACAGACCACCAAGAACAGTTGCGCACTTTATTTCCGGCACCACGTGACTCGGGGTTTTTGTTCACCCCGCCCCGAGACAGGCAGGTCACGTGTCCTGCGCCGCTACGTCACACACATAATCTGGAAAAACACTCGGTTATTTTACTGTTGTTCATCTTTTATCGTTTATAAAGCGAAATAAACCAGTTTACTGGAGATTTCCTCTCAGGAGCCACTAGATTACCGACAGATGGAGTGTTATGTGCTGTTCTCTCCGTTATAAATCTGCAGTTGCGTCCCCTAATCATATATCTACACTAGATGTGGCCTGCGCTGTTGGTGTCTACAGGAAGGAATGCGTCAATACAGCCGCCATATTAGTACAGGGTAGCGCCGCTTTGATATGAATGTGTGACCATGCTGCAGTGGAGGACTGACCATCCAGAGCCAGAGATACACACACATATACACGTGTATCTATGATCTGGTCAGTATGCTTATATATATATATATATATATATATATATATATATATATATATATATATATATATATATATATGAAATGAATGGGTTAAGTGCTCTTTTGTGAATGCTCTGAAACATTTACATATAATCTAAAGTCATTGACAAATTGGGCATGGTCTGGTTTACATTGAGCTATTTTTCTTATGTATATTATATTTCCTTAACAACATCAGCATTAAATTATACTTACACTATCTTATAATGCAATGGAAAATGATGGTGAATTGGGGCACACTTTATTTTAACGGTGCGTTTGTTGAATTTAAGTTACATTAAAACAAACTAATTCTCAATAAATCATGAGTAGACTGTTAGGTTAGGTTGGGGTTAGTGTGAGTTAACATGTAGTTAAATGTGTTGAATGTCAGAGTCAGCAGATATTAAGCAGACAGTCTATACTAATACTCGAGAGAGGAGTAATCGGAGTGTAGCTGCAATGCAGATGTTAGTCAACATCATGTGCAACAGGGACCATCAGAATACAGTCTCACCCTCAATATTCAGATTTTTCTTCACCTCAAAATCCTCCATACAGGAAATATTAAGCTTTTCCCAAACATGTTTAGCCGGATAAAGTCTGTGGAGTATTTCACTGGAGTTCTGTCGACAGTAACACAACATTTCAACACGTCTACAGCAGCCAGAGTACTGAATATAGAACCAGACGACACACATCAGATAACTGACTCTATTCTTCATCAGCTTAATCAAGCATTTAATGCGTCACTGAGAATAATATAATGTAATATTATAATATTACACTGTGTAAAACATATGCTGGAATAGTTGGCGGTTCATTCCACTGTGGCAACTCCTGATGAATAAAGAGAGTAAGCTGCAGGAAATGAGTGAATGAATATTAATGAATGAGGAGGAGCTCTACACGGTGCTCCTTCTGTTAGTTTGCTGAGGGAATGATGCGCTAAAGTAAGCCCCGCCCACTACTGAATATTCAGCTTCAGTTTATGAGCAGTTCTCTCACACACACACACACACACACACACACACACACAGAGTTTATACGGTGTACTGCAGTACACACACAGCAGTGAACACACACACATGGCTGATCCGCTCACTGCAGACTTTATTTCTGATCACTGCTCATGTGAACACTACAGGACAGGGGGATTGTGGGTAGATGGAGCGCTGGTGAAGGGGATTGTGGGTTAGTGAGTCAGTAGGGCTTGAACTTCCTCTGTGCTCTGAGTACAGCGATCCTCTGCTTATCCTCCTCAAACTTCTTCCTCAGCTCAGCGATGTCTGGAGAGAGAGAGAGAGAGAGAGAGAGAGAGAGAGAGAGAGAGAGAGGAGTCTGATTAACCCTGACCACACCACAACACAACACTGATGATGGACAAAGTCTAGTCAACACCATCACTGACTCACTCATGACTGATTCACTTAGAAATGAAGCAAGTATCTTTATGAACACAACACTGAATCAAATGATTCACTCAGTCTTTATGAACAGTTCACTGACTCAAATGATTCACTCATGGTGTCTGATTCATTTAGAAAGATCACAAATGTCTTAATGAAGGGATCACTGAATCACTGACTCAAGTGATTCACTCATGTTGTCTGATTCATCTAGAAATGAAGTGTCTTTATGAACGAATCTCTGCCTTAAATGATTCACTCATGACTGATTCACTTAGAAATGAAGCAAGTATCTTTATGAACAAATCACTGAATCAAATAATTCACTCAGTCTTTATGAACAGTTCACTGACTCAAATGATTCACTCATGGTGTCTGATTCATTTAGAAACATCACAAATGTCTTAATGAAGGGATCATTGAATCACTGACTCAAATGATTCACTCAGAGTGTATGATTCATTTAGAAATGAAGCAAGTATATTTACAAACGCATTACTGAATCAAATGATTCCCTTTAAGTGTATGATTCATTCAGAAATGAGTCTTCATGAACAGATCACTGAGTGTAATGATTCACTCATGTCTGATTCATTTAGAAATGAGTCTTCATGAACGGATCACTGACTCAGATGACGGATTCAGAATCAGCTCAGTGTTGCTCAGCTGTCTGAATCTTTAGCTTGTGTGAGTGTGTGTGTGTGTGTGTGTGTGTGTGTGCTCACGCTCTCTCTGTGTGTTGCGGTGCTGCCACGAGTAGAAGTTGAGGAGCTCCTTGCGCTGCTTCTTCTTCTCCTCCTTCTGCAGTGTCCTCTGATTGGCTGTCTCTGTGTGTGGGCGGGCCTTAGCCCCGCGGCTGCCCTTCGTCACCTTCACCCAGCCCTCCTCATCCTCCTGCTGCTGCTCCGCCTCCTGCTGCAGACGCTCCGCCTCCTGGGGGCGGGTACAAATAATAATGAGGGAACTGAACTGTGTGCGTTCAGCGTGTGCGCGAGTGTGTGTGTGTGTGTGTGTGTGAGTGACCTGCTGTTTGCGCGTGTCGAACTCCTCCATGAACTGATCCACTGCAGCCTGAAGAGACGAAGCCTTGACCAGAGACCCGGAGTACTGCTGGATCCACTCTACACACACACACACACGCAAGCACACACACACACAAACACACACGCACGCACACGCACGCACACGCACGCACACACACACACACACACTTAATTTTCATCCTCTGTACACATAACATGTTGTGTGTGTGTGTGTGTGTGTGTGTGTGTCTCACTGCGCAGGCCGGTTCTGACGGGTCTCTCCGCTGTGGAGGTGATGAGCGAGTCGTGCAGTGGGTGACGTTTAGCTGCGTTCACACTCGCTGCGCTCCGGAACACCACATACGCTACTCTGAAACACTGCACACACACGCACACACACACACACACACAGTCAGAATGGTCAGTGACAAAGTGTGTCCATCATATGTGTGTGTGTGTGTGTGTGTGTGTGTGTATATACCTGTGGTTCTGGGGCTCTGAAGAGTTCACACACTCCGCTGGCGCTGCTGTCCGCTGCTCCGGGCTTCACACACACATCCACGGACTCAACCACACCGAAGCGACTGAACACACCTGACAGAACACTCTGACACACACACACACACAAACAAACAAACAACAAACAAACAAATAAACAAACAAACAAATAAACATGATGATCACACCAGTAGCTGGGCTCCACCCACTGCCTGCTTCAGCCAATCATGTTCTGTGCTAAGAGACTGTGTGTACCTGTGTGCAGTAGTGTGTGTGTGTGTGTGTGTGTGTGTGTGTACCTGTGTGCAGTAGTGTGTGTGTGTGTGTGTGTGTGTACCTGTGTGCAGTAGTGTGTGTGTGTACCTGTGTGCAGTAGTGTGTGTGTGTGTGTGTGTGTGTGTGTGTGTGTACCTGTGTGCAGTAGTGTGTGTGTGTGTGTGTGTGTACCTGTGTGCAGTAGTGTGTGTGTGTGTGTGTACCTGTGTGCAGTAGTGTGTGTGTGTGTGTGTACCTGTGTGCAGTAGTGTGTGTGTGTGTGTGTACCTGTGTGCAGTAGTGTGTACCTGTGTGCAGTAGTGTGTGTGTGTGTGTGTGTGTGTGTACCTGTGTGCAGTAGTGTGTGTGTGTGTGTACCTGTGTGCAGTAGGGCGGCACGTTGAGCACGAAGAGTGTTCTGTCGGCGGGTCGGTGTGTGTTTGACTCTGAGCGCACTCTGTGCTCTTTAACACACACCTGATGAAGAGCAGCGGCAGAGTCATCCTCACTGAACCTGAGGGAGAGCACTGCGCGCACACACACACAGAGAGACACACACACACACACAGTTTCAGTGAATCAAGCGCGAGTGGACTCTGATCAATCGAGTCGTGAGCGCTTCATGTACTCTCAGTGAAATGATGGCCCTCATGCTCGAGTGAAACAGCTCATTATTTTACTATAATACCTCATTAATAACAGTAGTTTTACCTGTAAATCCTCCTGGAATAACGCACGCGTCTTTATTCGCGGACGGCGCCATCTTAGTTTACATGCGTCACCCGAAACAGGCGCAAAGGCCGCTGGGAGCTGTAGTTCAACTGACTGCTGAGGCGAACGATTAGTATCGTTTACTCGCGCATTTATTTGATCAGAAACACAAATAAAAGTGTAAAAAAGTACTGTATAATAGAGTGATTTGTGTGTGAATAATAAAGCTGCATTTCCAGCATCATTACTCCACATTTCCCTTCAGATATCACCCTAATATGATGATTGGGTGATCAAGACACCTTCTGCAGTCGGGTTACTTTGTTTAAAGTCTGTGTGAGGGCATCACCTCAGTGGTTAGCTCTGTGTCCTCACAGCAAGAAGGTCTCTGGTTTGAGTCTCGGCTGGGTCAGTTGGTGTTTCTGTGTGGAGTTTGCATGTTCTCCCCGTGTTGGCGTGGGTTTCCTCCGGGTGCTCCGGTTTCCCCCACAGTCTAAACACATGCGCTATAGGGGAACTGATCAACTACACTGACCGTAGTGTGTGTGTGTGAATGAGGGTGTATGGGTGTTTCCTAGTACTGGGTTGCAGCTGGAAGGGCATCCACTGTGTAAAACTTATGCTGGAATAGTTGGTGGTTCATTCCGCAGTGGTGACCCCTGATGAATAAAGGACTAAGCTGCATGAATGATCTGTAGTAGTAAATGAATCCTGAGTAAACCGTGTCCAGTTAATCTGCAGTCTCAGCTCCTGCATTGGGATTGGCTCCTTCTCTGATGACATCAGCTTGAGTTTCAGACACATTATTCTTAGTCCCGCCCCTCTTGCTGTTAGTTAGCTATGAGGTTATGACACTGAAGTCCCGCCCCCTGATCAATATTCAGCTTATAAGAGCATCAGCACACTGCAGTGGGAGTGTCAGAAACTCAAGAGCACTGTGCGGAGTGTGATCAGCTCCTCGAGGAGCAGAAGCATGACGTTAGCGCTAATGCTAACAGTGATGGAGGAGGAGAGTAATGCAGCAGAGGCGCGGCTGATTATAAAGAAAGACTTTACTGGAGAAAACAGAAAGCTGGAGTCACAGAACAGTCAAACAATCATTAAAACAAACATGAGGAGGCGCAGCTGACCAGCACAGCTCACAAAAGCACACACACCGCCTCTGTGTGTCTGTGTGTCTGTGTGTGTGTGTGTGTGTGTGTGTGTGTGTGTGTGCGTGTGTGTCAGATCTTGATGCGGAAAGCGGTGGCGTGAGCGGCCGGTGTCTCGCTGGCACTGCTGGCCGTCTGGCTGGAGGAAGAGGAGGAGGAGGAGGAAGACTTGAAGAGCGCCTTCAAGATGGTCTGCGGGTCCACCTCAGCTGCAGACGAGGACTTGGAGGAGCGGGAGGAGGAAGAGGAGGAGGCCTTCTGTGCGGACAGCGGAGAACCAGGAGTATCACTCAACCTCCTGCAGGACACAAGATGGAGGACATCAGAGGAGGAGGTGGAGGAGGAGAAGGAAGAGAAGGAGGAGGAACAGGAGGAAGAGGAAGAGAAGGAGGAACATGAGGAAGAAGAAGAGGAGGAGGAGGAGAAAGAGGAGTAGTAAGTGGAGGAAAAGTAAAAGAAGAGAAGGCAGAAGAGAAGGAGAAACAGGGGATGAGGAGGAACATAAAGAAAAAGAGGAACAGGAGGAGAAAGAGGACGAGAAGGAGGAGGAGAAAGGAGGAGTAACAGAAGGAAGAGGAAAAGAATGTGGAAAAAGTAGATGGAGGAGGAGAAAGTGGAGGAAAAGGAAAAAGAAGAGGAAGAAGAGGAGGAGGAAGAGTAAGTGGAGAAAGAAGAGGATACGGAGGAGGAAAAGGAGATGGAGGAGAATGAACAGGAAGAGGAGGACAAAGATGAGGAACAGAGGGAGGAGGAACAGGATGAGGAGGAGGAGGTGAAAGAGAAAGTGAAGGAGGAAAAAAAGGATAAGGAGGAGGAAGAGCAGGAGAAGGAACAGGAAGAGGAGGAGGAACGGGGAGGAGGAGAAGGAGAAACAGAAGGAGGAGGAAGAGGAAGAACAGGGGGAGGAGGAAGAGGAAGGATGAGGAACAGGAGGAAGAGGAGGAGTAACAGGAGGAGGAAGTGGAGGAGGAGCAAAAGGAGGAGGAGCAAAGGGAGGAGGAGGAGAAGGAGGAGCAGGAGGGGGAAGTGGAGGAGGAGCAAAAGGAGGAGGAGCAAGGGGAGGAGGAGGAGAAGGAGGAACAGGAGGAGGAGCAAAAGGAGGAGGAGCAAAGGGAGGAGGAGGAGAAGGAGGAACAGGAGGAGGAAGTGGAGGAGGAGCAAAAGGAGGAGGAGCAAGGGGAGGAGAAGGAGGAATAGGGGAGGATGAGGAAGAGCAGGAAGAACAGAAGGAAGAGTAGAAGAAAGAAAAAGGAGAAGAGAGGGAGGAAAAGGAGGTGATGAGGAGGATGAAGAGAAAGAGAATGTGAAAAAAAAGAGGAGAGGAGGAGGATGTGAAAAGTGAAAGTGAAGGAAAAGGAAAAAGGAGGAAGAGGAGGACGAGGGGGAAGAGGAGAAGGGGGCAGAGGAGGAATAGAAGGAGAAATAGAAGGAGGAAGAGGAAATGGAGAAGGAGGAAGAGGAGGAGGAAGACTGTAATGTAATGTAATGTAATGTTCTTTAATGCCATGTCAGCATATAAGGCTATCATCATGGCAGGAACATTTCAACAATACAAACACAATTTAATATCAGCAAACACAAGAATACACAGATTAAAGAAGAGATTCAGTGTTGACGCACGAGACACATTCTAACATCTCTTCTGGTGTCACTGCGCTAAAATACGAGAGTTCCTCTGATATAAAGTCTGCAGGAGTCAGTACACGGTGTTGTCCAGTGAGGGGAGATGTGCAGCACAGACCCTCAGCAGAGCTTCACCCGCAGCTGCATGTCCAATACCACATCAGGAGAACAGCACCTGATCAAACCTGGCCTGAACACTGACAGAGATCTCATGTCATGCGTCATCTCCTCACACACACACACACACACACACACACACACACACACTCCTCCTGCCGCTTGAGTACAATGCAAACGTTAATGAAAGATCTCAGCCCTGACGGAGGAATCAGCCGCTTGTTCAACACTCGCGACAAAACGTCTTGGAGGAGGAAGAATAGTGCAGGTGTGTGTGTGTAGTAGACAGGTGTGTGTGTGTGTAGTAGAGAGGGTCTTACAGTAGGATGGGCTGGTCAGACGTGATCACGCTGCCCTGCATGTGCAGATTACACTTCATCGGCTGACCTGTGCACACACGCACACACACACACACACACACACACACACACACACACACACACACACACACAGACAGAGCGTTACTGAGCTTCTGCCAGCAGAGACTTACAGACATTAATGATGCAATGATGGTGTGTGTGTGTGTGTGTGTGTGTGTGTGTGTGTGTGTGTGTGTGTGTGTGTCTCACCGTCCAGACAGCGGTTGTTGTACTTCCTGTAGGCACTGACTGCATCCTCCTTGCGCACAAACACCACCTCAGCCACGCCCACTTTGGCCAGCCGTGCCCGCTTGAGTGCGCCACACACACAGAACAGCTCCTGCACACACACACACACACACACACACACACACACAGAGAGAGAGAGAGAGAGAGAGGAGAGAGGTCAGTGTAGATCAACTCTTGCTTTCTCCCTATAAGGCTGTAAGTAACCCAGCTCCTGTTCATCTGACCCAGCTTCTGTCCCGCTACAGCCCAACCCGCTCTTCAAGAGCTCTAAACTCAGGACTTCTGAACAGCAGAGTCCACTAAAGGAGGTCGAGTCTCCTCATGTATGGCTCCTGAACTCTGGAATAGACTCCTGATAGAGGCTCAGACACACTCTCACTAGAGGAAACACCTATCTGTTTAGTCAGTTGCTACACAAGTTGCGTAGTGTGTGTGTGTGTGTGTGTGTGTGTGTGTGTGTGTGTGTAAGGAGTGTATGAACAGCACACAGGAACTCACCACAATATCCTCCTCCGTCACCCGCGGGTGGAGATTCGTCACGGTGATCTTTGTGCCTTCCAGAGGACTGAAGACAGGCTGAAACACACACACACACACACACACACACACACACACACACACCTTAACTCTACAGGCCTTCACACACACACACACACACTAAATGACTCAGTTACGTTGTGTACCTGTGTGGGTGTGTGTGTCTGGGCGCTGGTGTCTCTGCCCGCAGGCTGCGTAGTAACGGTCGTCCTGGAGACGGGCTGCAGGCTCTGTGTGGGGGGGCGGGGTGCAGGGCGAGCGGGCGGCACCGAGACAGATGGGGGCGTGTACGAGTCGTTCTTTACCACCTTAGTGATGGGGGCGGAGAGAGAGACAGGCCCCGCCTACAAACACACGCACACACACAAACACACACACACTCAGATTTAGTATTTCTCCTCTACCGAGTCGCATCTCTGGATTAGACACATGTGGGCGGGGCTTCTTTTCTCCATGTGGAACCGACTGATTTCTATTGGTCGATTTCATGTGAAACCCCGCCCTCAAGTGAGTAAAGACCAATCAGAGAAGAGATGTGCTTGAAGAGGGAGGAGCGGTTACACAATAATGACACCAATACTCATCTGATGAGAGTGTGTGTGTGTGTGTGTGTGTGTGTGTGTGTGTGTGTGTGTGTGTGTGTATGCAGGGTCCCCGCGGGTCCTTAAAAAGTCTTAAAATGTCTTAACATTTTCGATTTTTAAGGTCTGAAAATGTCTTGAATTCTGTAATTTTCCATAAGGAGGTCTTAAATTTCATGTGGGATCTTAAATATCATGTCCGACTCGTCTTATGTCGGCAAATCAATGCCAATATAAATCGAGCGCAGCGGTGATGTTTGCGCGCGAGAAGTGACCCGTGAGCAGATTAGAGGTCTAAACTACAGCTCACGAGCGCACAGGGGATCTTCACGCGCGCGCTCAACTGATCTAGCGCGAGAAAACAAGTCCCGTGCGCGCACATCATCATCTGTGCGCACGATGTATGCTCTCGCGAGCGAGGTCATGCCTACAGCGCGCGCCATCAGTTCTCTCCGCTCGCTCGCTGGTTCTTCTCTCTGCTCACGCGAAAGATTTTGGATTTTTGTGAGTCCTAAGGCGGGACTTGGTTTACTTGTTTTTCTCTAACGCTATTGGCTACTCTACCTTTCCAGAAGTTAGCCGGGATTGGACGCAGGTAAGCTAGTTTCCCCGTTAAATAAAATATATAGAATATCTTATCATAATGTCACAGTGTGAAACTAATAGACTTACTTTCTCAGTAATAATAGGTGATAATAATCAATAATGAGATATTTCTTGTAATAATTAATCTCATAATAATGCCTATTCTTACCATCATGACCAAGTCATATAATGACATATCAAAATAATGAGATATATTTCTGTAACAAACTTTATTACTTGGGAGAGAAAGAGAGAGTTATACCATGTGGCAAAAGATCTCTCCATTAAACAGAAATTGGGGAAAATATACATGGGCTAATAATTCAGGACGAATAATTCAGACTTTAAATGTGTTTTGAACCATTTGATGAAGTTTAGCACCTACATTTAAACTGAACTCAAACTAAACGTGTTCAAATTTACAAAAATCTTTTTTTTTTCTAAGATTCATTGTCCTTGACTCATTTTCTATGAAGAACAAGTCAGAATAAATTGGCTGGACAATAGTATACAAAATAGGCTATACATGCATGCAGTGCATAAAGTACAAAGGTTTATAGTAAATATATTGCCATTAGTCTGTTATTCCACTATACAGTTAAAGTCAGAATTATTAGCCCCCTGTTTATTTTTATCCTCATTTTTATTTAACGGAGATAATTTTTTTTTCAACACATTTCTAAACATTATAGTTTTAATAACTCATTTCTAATAACTGATTTATTTTATCTTTGCCATGATGACAGTAAATAATATTAGACTAGATATTCTTCAAGACACTTCTATACAGCTTAAAGTGACATTTAAAGGCTTCACTTGGTTAACTAGGCAGGTTAGGGTAATTAGGCAAGTTATTGTATAACGATGATTTGTTCTGTAAACTTTCGAAAAAATAAATAGCTTAAAGAGGCTAATAATATGGACCTTAAAATGGGTTTTAAAAAATTAAAACAGCTTTTATTCTTGCCGAAATAAAACAAGAAAAAAATTGGGCTGATAAGATGTGGGCCTGTTGTATAGAAAGTAGTATTTGTATGCCTCTGAAGTGGAATGATGTAATGGATAGTGAGTAAAGCCAAACGAAGATTGTAGAAATTAAATTGTTGCTCAATAGGTGGCGATAAAAACCCATCTGAATGTCTGTCACTGTATTCTTTATGTTTAATTGGGCTAATCATTTTTGATTGAAGTCTTTATATGCAGGTTATTCAATCATTAACTAAAAATGAGATCGAAAAATATATATAATATATAGATATATATATTTTACACTGATCTATATTACAAACAATGTTAACAATTATAATAATATACAAAGCTGCACTGCACATATAGTATGCATTGTATGGAAAGATCTAAAACGCAAATAAACTCTTCTGAAGACGATATTTCCTAGAAAGATCATCCCCAAGTGTAATGAGCACTGCTGTTGTGGTTAATAATGAAGTAAAATACAACAAACCAGACAAGTGCTGCACGGACAAATCAAATGGGTTCAGAAAGTCATGTTACAAGAATGCAAGTCATTATTTTAGAAGATTAATTTTTATTATTTGACTTTTTCTCGAGATTGAATCCTCATAAAGTTCATAAAGTTCTCAGAAAGTTTCTTATGATTATGACTTGCAAATTGTATATATATTTAATGGCGTGATCTTTTAACCTGCGTCCAATCCCGGCTAACTTCCGGAAAGGCAGAGTAGCCAATAGCGTTAGAGATAACAAGTACACCAAGTCAACCAAGTAATCTGCTCACGGTTCACTTCTCCTCGCGCGCAAACATCACCGCTGCGCTCAATTAATATTGGCATTAATTTGCCGCCATAGATTTGCCGCCATACTTCACCACATCATTCTGTGTTGACACACTGAACATTTTCCTGTTTTTTTTTTTTTTTTTTTTTTAGGTAAAGTCTTAAATTTTCCTTTTAGAGGACTTAAAAAGGTCTTAAAAGGTCTTAAATTTCCTGTTAAAAAATGTGCAGATATCCTGGTATGTGTGTGTGTGTATGTGTCTCACCCGTGTCTGCAGGCTGCTGGCAGCAGTGATCTTCATCTGTTTGCTGGGAATCACAGCACTGACATCATCCTCATCCTCATCTTCAGCAGCAGCACACACACGCTGTACACACAACAGCAACATACACTGATATACTCTGTGTGTGTGTGTGTGTGTGTGTGTGTGTGTGTGTTTGTGTGGGAGGGGTTGTGTGTGTGTGTGTGTGTGTTTGTGTGGGAGGGGTTGTGTGTGTGTGTGTGTGTATTATACCGGAGGTGCTGCACTGGGGACGTTGATCCGGATGCCGCTGGTCATTCCCACAGGCCTCTGCTGCACACACACACACAAACACACATTTAGCATCAGAACACACACACACATACACACACATTTAGCATTAGAACACACACACAACGTCACACACCTGGATGGTTTTGGTGATCTTTAGAGACGCTGCGCTCTGATTGGACGTCGTAGGGACACTCCTCTTCAAGCTCAACCTATCACGTGCATCAACAACTTTTGTGATCCCGCCCCCTGGCTGTAAGGCCACACCCACTCTGGTGGTGAGTGTGTGTGCGCGAGGGCTGGTGTTGTGTATGTGTACGTGTGGGACCCCGGGGCCGCTGGGCCGGGCGGAGGCTGGGGCGGGGCCGCTGGCGGACGGCTGCTGCTGCTGCTGTTTGCGCAGGTTGATCATCAGCCGGGCGTCCTGCATCGCACTGGCCCCTCCCCCTCGGCTCTGCACAGCACTGGTCCCACCTCCTCGGCCCCGCAGCCGCAGCCGAGCGTCTTTCTGGCCCAGCTTCTCCCTGGCGTCCTTCACCGGAAACACTGACGGCCGCGACAGAGTCTGAACTGCAGCTCCGCTAGCCGAAATCTGGAGGCGTTTCCCCCCGCTGGCTCCACCCACTCCCAGCCTCTGTCTGACATCACCACTGCCAATCTTCTGCCGGGCATCAAAGGCCATGTTCAGTGGCCCCGCCCCTCTGCCATATACAGGCCTGTGGACAGACGACAACAGGAGTAAACCGTTACCTGGAGGCTAACGTTCACACACACACTGTGTGTTTAGTGATGTGTGTTTAGGCTCAGTCACTCGTTTTCTTTTCAGCTTAGTCCCTTTATTAATCAGGGGACACCACAGTGGAATGAACCGCCAACTTATCCAGCATCTGTTTTACACAGCGGATGCCCATCCAGCTGCAGCCCAGTACAGGGAAACACCCATACACACTCACTCATTTACACACACAAAACCCCGCCTCTGGTTTCATTTGATTGGAGAATAGGAAAATACATGACGCTTTTACCACTCAAGAGTTTACTTTTTTCAACTGCGAGTGCTCCGTACGCAACGACAATAACGCAAGGCGCAAAAGCAGCGCAAACACTCGCAGCCGTTAGTAAACCATTCAACAGATGCATCTCTCAACGCAAACGTGCGATCGCTGAAATCGGCCCCTTATACTGCCAAACGCTAAAAACATTACATAATATCTGTAAATCATTTAACTGACACCATTAATCGCTTACAAACACACCGGCTGCGTCACAAACCGCATACTTCCATACTATACAGTATGCTAAAATCAGTATGCGAGCCGAGTAGTATGTCTGAATTCATAGAATTCGAAAATCAGTATGCGAGAAGTACCCGGATGACTTACTACTTCCCGCGAGATTCTGAAGTGCGCATTCCATGCATGCTGCGCTATCCCATAATGCCCCACGAGAGAATTCATGAATGGGAGTAAAACGACGCAACTGACCCAGGTAGGTCATGTGACCATGACAAAATGGCGGATGTAGTACGTCCGAATTTCATTCATACTTCTCACATTCATACTGTATAGAACGCACTTTTCCAACGGCCGAGTCGTACGTTTATAATACAAATGCAGCACCTACTGAGTAGCAGATAACCACCTGTTCTGTTAACGGTTAATTGCTTATTATGAGCATCCCTAAACACAAGTGTGCACTACTGGTGGAGCATCTGACTGGATGTAAACCACAGGTCTCAAACTGGACTCCTGGAGAGCCGCAGCTCTGCTCCAACCCTGATCAAACACGGCTCATCAGGTGTTCGAGACTACTGGAGACGATTCAGCTGAGAGCTGGAGGTGTTGGAGCTAAACTCTGCAGAGCTGCGGCCCTCCAGGAGCTGAGTTTGAGACCCTTGGTTTGAATGGAGTGCCCTAAACCCTTGAGCACTTAGGAACTACACTGGTAAACGTCACAATCGCAGTGCATTCTGGGACATTAGAAGCTGACTCGGTCAAAATAGAGGGTATGTCCATGTAAGCTTCCCTCCTTCACTTGATGAAGTGCAACACACTGTAAAAAGGTGTTGGTGATTAACCATGAGGGAACAAGGGTAGGGAAGTTCGCGAGTGTGTGTCTAAAAGTGTAGTGGAACACAGCCCAGATGATGGACATGCTGCATCACAGCGCTTGTGCTTATCGACAGCATTTAACCCCTCAGGAGTAAACTAAGGGGGCTCCCTCTCCTCATAGTGTGCATGAGAAGTGTACTAAACATCCATAACAAAGACAACATTTCTCTAATCATCTCCTGCAACACATTAGCTGTATATTCCGTCAGGCCTGAGTGATGTCTTCATGGGCAGTTTGAATAATAACACACTGGTGTAAGCGCGGTCAGGCTGAGCTCTGTAAGCTCTGGCTGGTGTGTTCAGCACTCTTCACTGCTCCACACACACCGACTGCAGCTCACCGGTCGTTATTCTCCCTCAGATGACGCATGTTGTCGGTCGGCCGATCCACCGATAATCACCGGGAGACTCGGTTAGCATTAGCGGCGGTGGAGCAGACTCTCGGTTTGCGGATAGTAACACTATGATGGTCAAATACACTATGATGAGCGGATTAACTGTAATGTTCGAGGTTTGTTTGTATATAAAAAAAAACAGCAACGCGCAGGACGCCATGAATGACACGCGTCAGCCAATGAGAACACGAGCTGACGCGCGAGCGCGACACTTCAGCCAATCAGCGGAGGGTGAAGGCGGGATATCTCGCTAAGCAGAGTCTCTACAGACTCCACACGTCCTGCGATCATTAATAAACGAGCTTGTGTTGATCAATACAGGTGATCAGTAACTGCTGTGCGGAGCGCCCGGGCTGCTGTACCTCTTACTGGCTCCTCTCGCGGTAAAACTGCGCCGACGAATCACTTCATCCAGAGACAAGTCCGCCATATCTGCGCCTGCTGGTTCTCTGCGCACATCAACGCGCATGCGTTTCACTTTCATATGGGCGGGGCGAAGTGACGTGTGACGGACAGCGGAAAGGGTCAAAACACACCAAAGGGAAAACAAAACGCGAAAGGATTCATCCGCCGCCCTAACAATAGGGTATGCGGAGCTAGTGCTTCCTCCCATACTGATAAACTTCCGGTGAACGGTTAATGTGACTTTTTTTTATTTTATACGGCTCCTTTTACAGCACTGATGTTTTAAATGTAATTAAAATATAATCAGTTTAATAAACTTTGGCATTCATTTAGTTGCTCAAGCGTAAAACGAGACAGAAAGCCGTTTGCTCGCATGCACCCGTCAGGATCGGCAGGCTAGCGCTGAAGCTCCATTGAATAAACTGAGGTTAAATAAATGCTCGTGTTATAAAGACATGGCGGGGAAATGTAATGTAATGCAGTGTTTCTTGTACAATCTGAGATTTTTAAATTTTTTTAAAGAAAACAGACCTTAAACGCCCAGAGTTTGATCAGTTCAGCGGAAGCGCTTGACCCAGGTGACTGGCAAATTAAAAGTCCTCCCGCATACTTCCACATATACCCAATTATTTTATCAAGAGCGAATTCTGTAAGCAGTTAATTGAGCATATATAGGCGATTTCCTCCCTTATACACCGCGTTAGCAATAATAATACTATTTGTTCAGGTTATTGCTGTAATAATGGCTTAATGCTTGAAAATAAAGACAAAATGCAGTATAGTGTTGGTTAAAACACATTGTACACAGACAAGCTTTACTCATATATGAAGAACAGAGCTTAATGTGGATTAATGCAATAGGAATATTTGATGTATCTCTATATGTCACACTCCTACTGCCATCATGAGCGTTAGAATGAGCCGTCTTGGAGAGTTTGAAGATTTATTGATAACTTTACATAGAAACAGTCATTAAAAATTAAAGTAATACAGCCAGTGTGTGTAATTATGTATTTATTTCACCTCCAATCTGATGGAGAAACACAATAACACAAATATAATACCATGCAAATACTACAAAACATCACAGTTAACCCTTTTAAACCGGTACAGTTTAATAACCGTCATAACATCAGGGTTTATTTTTAAGGGAACAGTTTAACTCCGATATAGAAACTGAAGATCCAGTGATCATTCACTCTCCATATCCTCCATTTCCCAGACCTCTTTAAGTCTTTCTTCTGTTAAACATTAAAGAAGATATTTTGAAGAATGTTGGAATCCTGTACCCGCTGCCTTCCATTTGCTTTTCCTACAATGGAAAGTCAATGGTTACAGGTTTCCAACATTCTTCAAGATATCTTCTTCAGTGCTCAACAGAAGAAACTCATAAAGGTTTGGAACTACTTGTGAGATGAGCTATTCCTTTAACACCACCAACAGAAGTCATTAAATGACTATAGTGCAGACCCAGATGGCAGTCTCCATTTTAATCCGCTGCACATTTACACAAACAACAACAGGAGTCTGAGAGCAGCAGGCTCCTCCCTCCTGCCGTCTGAACGCCATGACGTCACTCACTATCCCACAATGCACTGCCCGGAGAGTCCATTCATGACACAGAATACGCTCTTTTAGCCGTACTGAATCATTTTACTCCACTACATGGCGTTAGCAGGTCATATATAGCCTACTATATAGCGTGTGCTGAGTGTACACTGCGCTGGTATACTCCAGCTCACCGTCGCCGAACACGCAGGCGCTCCTGAACCCGTCTCAGAGCTTGATGGTCGACAGGTTATGCCTTAAACTGATGAGTAAGGAAAATAACGATGCGGGGTGACGCCCGTGTCCTCGCTAAAACTCGCGAGAGGAATTTTTGAACGGGTACAGGTCTGCAGCAGGTGACTCGCCTACTTTAGCGAGATGCCGCGCTGATCCAGGATCTGCCCCGACAACACCCAATAACAGGTTAAAAGTAGAAAGTATAAACTAATATATGATCTGACGGCAATCAATGTTGTACTCAGGAGTTATTTTAAACTTGCACTTAACTAATACAAAGTTACACAATATATACTCGTATGTATTTATACTGTCTAAGACAGACCAAACAAGCACTTTGAAAATTGAGAAAGAAATTGACCTAAAGAGGTGATTAAGGCTAGAGAAACCAGCAGGGGAGCATCTTAGATATATACACTAGATGTCGCCTGGCCTATTGTTGTCTATTGGACGGAATGCGTCAATAGCGCCGCCATCTTGCTACAGGGTAGCGCTCCTTTGAAAAGAATGCGGGGCCAAGTTACAGTCGAGGACTGTGGCCATCCAAAGCCAGAGATATACACATATACACACATATCTATGATCGGGAGTTTTCCTGGATGTTAGTATGTAATTTATTTTTCTAATTGTGAAAATTATAATTTTACATCACTTTGATGGATCAGTGACCGCACGGGCATTCCTGACAAAAAGCTTTGTGTGTACAGAAATGTACTATTCACCCTCCCTGTTAAATCTGATCTAATCATGTCCTGAAACACAGCTCCTCTCCTGCTTTCACTTCTCATACTGACGAGAAAAGAGCGATTTGTTTGTGAATGAATCCCCTGAACGACTCTTTCACTAACATTAGCCGACAATAATACCAGTTTCTGGCAGCGCAGCATCTCGTTGTCATGTTTCTTTTGCATTGTTTGCTGATTTTATTCAACAAAACTAGCATAAGCCGAGTGTTTAGTGCGAGTTGGAGCTGCTTTGCCGTATGGTGAATGCAGTAAGAGACTGTTATCATCAATAACGTGACCTGATTAGCACAAAAGTTCAGAACATACAAAAACAGAAAAAAACTTAATATTACCAAATAATGTTCTGCCTTTGTGCTTTGTTTTCTTTATTTGCTCGTTACTACACCCGTAGACAGCGCTAAAGTCCCGCATCTTCACGTAATAATACTGTCTTGACTAGTGCGGTTGAAAGACACTTGTCCTGGGAGCACTGTACCAATATGGCGGCGCTATTGACGCATGCTCAGGGTCCCTGTGCCATATCTAGTGTATATATCTATGGGGGAGCATGACTGTGTGGGACAATGACAGCTGAACACTGCAGCTGCTAATATATAGAGGTGTAAGATGGAGTTTAAAGTCCACATCAAATCAAAACTAGCCAAACTTCTTCAATGATTCATGTGCATTTCTACAGAGCAAACTGTGATTAAACTACAGATGTACTAGTCACATGTTCGCTTTCTGTCAGCTTATGCACATTTAAAGAGACAGTTCACCTGAAAATGCCCAGTGGGGGTAAACTTCCACGAGTTTCTGTCATCTGTTGAACACAACACTAGATAATCTGAAGAAAAGCAGAGCCATCATAGGAACACTGGCATACTTCTCCAGCATTCTTGTGCTGGACAGAGGAAACTCACACTAGTGGGAATGACCAGTGTTTTAGTCAACAGTCCCTTTAAGAGGATGATTTTCAGCAGCCATTCTGTAAGCAGCACAGTGAGTAGCACTGTCACCTCACAGCACTCAGATCTCAGGTTTGAGTCTCGGCTGGGTCAGTTGGTGTTTCTGTGTGGAGTTTGCATGTTCTCCCAGTGTTGGTGTGGGTTTCCTCCGGGTGCTCAGGTTTCCCCCACAGTCCAAACACATGCGCTATAGGGGAACTGATCAACTACACTGGCACTAGTGTATGTGTATGGGTGTTTCCCAGTGATGGGTTGCAGCTGGAAGGGCATCCGCTGTGTAAAACATATGCTAGACTAGTTGTCGGTTCATTCCACTGTGGCGACCCCTGATTAATAAAGAGACTAAGCTGAAGGAGGATGAGTGAATTCTGTAAGCTTGAACATTAGATGGAGTTAAAGCCGTCATCAGCACTCCTTCAGTTCCAGGAACACTAATAATGCAAGTGTACAGAGAAGAACCGGTGCAGTTCCCTGAACGTTGCCTGAAGGTTGTTTTGTGGTTATTGTTTAGTTTTGCTGGCTCTAGTCTGCATTATTCCTGGAATCCGGGAGTCGTGTAACTGTATTCTGAGTGACTGACGCTTTGAAAACATGTGAGGAATCAATTGTTCAGAAACAGAGACGTCAGTGAATGAATGCTGACTGAGACTCGAGCCGATACCCGAGTAAACCACAGACTGCGATATACACAGACAGAAATATATCACCGGGTAAATGCACAACTGTAGGACTATATCAGCGTTTCATTCTGTGGCACTCTGACCACAAATAAAAAATAAAATAAAATGTCAAATAAAATGTCATAATATATATTTTTTTTTAATTATTTTTTTATAATATTTATTCTGAAGCTAAAGGATTAGTGCTTTGTTGTCTGAAAATGAATATGAACATGCGTAATTATACTGTTTATTCTTTATTTATACACAAACACACACACACACACACACACACACACACACACACACATATATATATATATATATATATATATATATACATATATATATATATATATGATTAGCATATTTAAAGGTGCAGTTCGCCCAAAAACTAAAGTTCTGTCATTGTGTCCTCATTTACACCTGATTTAAAGAAAACAGATGGCTATAAATCTCTAGTTTTACTTAGTTAGTATGATACACTGAGGAAATGTTTAGTCTATTTTGTGTACTGTCCCTTTAAGGCGCGCGTCAGAGGACTCAATTTCCCATGGTGCACCTGCGCGGCTCTGAAGCTGCAGTAGCACTCGCGTCGCGTCGCGTCTTCTCCGAAAGCTCGCGCCATGGCTGCGGCTCTGTCCAGATCGCTGAAATTACCGGGTGAGTCGAGCAGTAATCTCCGGTAGCCGGTCAGATTGATGGCGGTGAGATGTGACTGTAGTGTGTGACGTCAGAGCTGTGATTATCAGACGCGTCTTCATCCCGTTATTCATTGATTGCGCGCGACGTTAATGTGTCCCCGATCAGCCTGATTGATTGACGGATCTCCGCCGTTCAGATGATCATCACAGTGATGTGATGCTGGGTTATGTAATGTTGGAGACTGATGATATCAGACGCGCGCGGGATATCATCGCTAGTGTTAGTGCGCGCGTTCCCGCCGCAGCTCTACTGTACTGGCGGCCGTGTTGATCTCCTCACACACACACACACACACACACACACACTGGCACTGACCCTCGCGGGTTTAGCGATCTGTTTAATTGTCATATGGTGTGTGTTTGTTCACCCGTGTGAAATCTGCTGGTGTTGCCGTGTGTTTAAATGAATATCTCAGAGTTGTCGTCATCATATTTCGCGTGTGTCTGTATCTGCACGGGTATACTGGTATTAATAGCCAGCAACGCATTGTAAATTAGTGTTTTATTTAATGCCAAAATTACTTGGGTCTTCAGCATCTTTGCTTAGCGATGCATATTATTCTGCTGTATATAGATAACTGAGAATGAGCCGTCATGACTGCACCTACACGGAAATATTATATTAATAATAAGCAATATGCAGATGTTTACATCATTTATTTACAGTATTTTCTGTCTTCTAGTAGTGGATCTAGTTGGATTTGCACTGTAGACCTTAAATAAACGCTTAAAAGCTTGTTATATTTATACGGTTTTAGTTACTGAAACTACTATACTCACAAAATCTTTCCACATCAGTCATGTTTTTAGTAAACACTGCACAGAAACAGCTCCACAGTCAGCAGATTCTGTCTGTTCTGCTCATGATGAGCAAGGTCTTATTACTGTGTAATACTGATAATTACTGATACTTATAATCCTGTTTTCATTGTAAAGCGTTTGTGTTTTTATTAATGTTAAATGTTCATCGGACGGTTTGTGTGTGTGTTTTAAATGAACAGTGTCTGTTATAGTTTACATTCTCTCAATCTAAGATAGCCATTAATAGTTTTTAGTATATTTTTGTCAATTCCTTATTTTTCGTAATATTTTCTGTTATTTTGGTTAAAGCTTTTGGCAGTTTATTGATATTTTGTGTATATATGTCAGTATGTGTGTGTATATATGAAGAATATGACACTCGTAGCAGTGCAATATGGCTGTATATCAGCACTGATGGAAGGTGTGCCGAGTGCTTTAGTGTCCCACCAGTGCTGATGTACAGCCATATGGCACTGCTACGAGTGTCATATTGAGTTTAAACAACAGTTTGACGTCATATTTTTGTATATAATTAAGAAAATCGAACACGGAGAGTCTAAAAACCCCTTTTTATTAGGAACTACTTTCTTACGCCATTCATTCACATCTGCAGCTGACGTCAGAACAGCAGAAGCTGTTACTAATTCACCAAGGTCACTGTAGAGCTAGTGTTTGATGATTCTCTAGCGTAATGTCTAAAGTGACGACAGAACAGCTGATTCTGCTCACATTTTAACATTATAAGGGTGAACAGCATGAAGCACCATCAGTCTACAAAGATATCTCCAAACAGTCAGGGCCGGTGCGTCCATAGAGGCGACCTAGGCAGCTGCCTAGGGTGGCAGTATAGAGAGGGTGGCATCCGCGACACCTCCCTTACCACCCGCGTCCTCAATTATGTCCGCGACACCTCCCTCACCACCCGCGTCCTCAGATATATTCGCGCATAGACGACAGAATAGAGAGGGCAGCGTCAGGGACACCTTCCTCTCTCACTCAGCACCCGCTTGTCCTCAGTTATATCCGCGCATAGGGCAGCAGAATTGAGGTCCGCGACAACCGCGCATCTTCAGTTATATCCGCGCATAGGGCGGCAGAATAGAGAGTGCCGTGTTCGCGACACCTCCCTCCCTCAGCACCCACGCATCCTCAGTTATATCCGCGCATAGTGCACCAGAAAAGAGGTCCGCGACACCTCACTTAATTTACATAACCGGTCACTTTCGTTTTCACATTGGGGTTGAGGGCGGCATGATCGTCCTCTGCCTAGAGTGGCAGTTCAGCTTGCTCCGGCCCTGCAAACAGTGTTACAGTCAGGGCCGGTGCGTCCATAGAGGCGACCTGAAACTACCCTCGCCACCTGCGCCCTCAGTTATATCCACATCTCAGGCGGCAGAACAGAGAGAGCGGCGTCCGCGACACTACCCTCACCACCCTCGCGTTTTCACTTTAGGGTTGAGGATAGCGTGACCGTCCTTTACCTAGAGCGGCAGTTCAGCTTGCTCCGGCCATGGTTACAGTCTACATTATTGCTCTGTTGCAATCGGGATATCACAATAATTAACCCTGAAAAAAGCCACACAATCACTACCACACTGCTGTTGTGTTTGCGATAGGGAAAAACCCTCAACACATGCGGGCATTTCTTTTGTCTTTCTGCCAACACGACACACATTCCTGATATGCCAGTCTCACACTCAATACACTACAATTACTATGGTATACGCACAGCACTACAGCATACAGAGGAGAGAGATCGACTTAGAAAGTCACCTCCCACTATATATATATATATATATATATATATAAATATTCTAATAGTTATAAAATATACAAATTTTCTTTGCGTTTTGCATATTAATTCTGCAGTGTTATTCGAGTGTGTTGTTAGTGTTTTAGTGAGTAATCCTTCTTTAGGATGCTGATGCATGTGTTTATTGTTGTCCGTCAGGTAAGAAGGGGTGTGACCTGGGCGAGTATGACCCGCTGACGCAGGCCGACAGTGAGGACGAGACGGAGGACGATGACCTGGTGCTCAACTATCCCCGAAACGGCCTTCGGGAGCAGGGGGAGGAGCCTGATCCGCAGTGGAGAGCGCAGGTGGCGGGGCCAGGGCGGGCGCAGGGCGGAGACTCTGAGCAGAAGGCGGGGCATGTGCAGGGGGCAGGGCGGAGCGCTGCATTCCTGCTGCCGCTGCTGAGTGCCATGCTGCTGGTGCTGCTGTGTGCGTTCCTCATCCCCTGCCCACAGGGGGCGCCGCAGCTCACACACTGGCGCAAAGCGCTGGGGGACGCCGCCGGTGAGGGGCACACATTCATACACACAAACACACCACGGGTCCTCACACGGCACAGTATAAGCGATCTTATTTTATTGTCACGATACAGATTTATGTGAGTTACATTATAACGCATGACAACAACGTCTTCATCTGAAGAAACGCCGTCTTTTCATCGTTAAAAGGGTTTATTTGTTCCCAAAATTTGATTTAGGCTTATATTTGTGCGACGGGACAGCAGAACAACAGCGTAAACTACCATAACAATGCTCTCCTCAGGTACTGATTATGGGCTTCATCCTGTGGTAATGCTCCCAGTGTGAGTTCAAACACAAGGGGGCGGGGCATGTCAGACACTAGAGAGCGTTTGATTGGTCAGAAGGTTTAATGAGAGACTGAAGTATGAGGAGACGGCAGTATAATCACTGCTGTGTTTATGACCACCGGCAGACTGTAGAGGACGCTATCAGCTGTAGATCCGCTACACGTGGATTACTATTGAAACGTTTCTGTCGTGTTGCGTTCTCTCTGGAATCTTGTCATGTGTATTAGCGTTAGCATTAGCGGTGTCAGATTAACCTGTGGTTGTCCTCGCAGGCGTGACGTCGCCCCCTCTGGCCATGTGGGATGTGGACGGAGACGGGCTGGAGGACGTCCTGATCGCCGTCACCAGCATCGCTAACGACAGTCAGCCAATCAACTCGCAGAACAAAGGTGAGCACAAACAACCAATCATCAACATCCGACGATAAACTACATTACCCATGATGCTCTGCTGAAGATTCCACCAATCAGAGGGTTGTGGCACACTCAATGCTCATTAGCCCCGCCCACTCTCATGAAGCTCCGCCAGTGATGTAATGGAGTCTCCTGCTACAGTGATAGCTTTGAGTTCCTTTAATGTGTGCAGTGCATCATGGGATTGTAGTTCTTTCCTTCGTCAAAGCCATCCAGTTCATAGATGAACAACTGCCAGTGTGTCGTCAGATCAGAATGCTCTGTGTGTGTGTAGAGTTCAGCGTGTCGGCGGTGAGCGGGGCCGGTGGGCAGCTGCTGTGGTCCCGCACCCTCAGAGAGCCGCTGATCTCGGTTCAGTGTGGGCTGCAGACAGCAAGTGCGGACCCACTGCAGAGGACGTCAGAGCAGACACACTCCGCCTGCATCCTGATCAGCTCCGGACACATCATCACCGTCAACGCCTCCACAGGTCTCTCTCACACACACACACTCATACACACTTTAAACAATCTCACACACACCCAATAGCAGAACAGTGCCTACTCTGGGGGCGGGGTTAACATAGCCGGGCTTGATCTGATTGGTGTGAGGTGATGTGTGGCTGAGATACGGACAGTGCGACTGCGATGATTTTACAACATTCACTCAGTCATTCTCCTTCAGCTTAGTCCCTTTATTAATCAGGGGTCGCCACAGCGGAATGAACCGACAACTATTCCAGCATATGTCTTACACAGCGGATGCTGCTGATCCCACAAAAGCAGCTCTAGTGGAGCTCAAAGGCTGCGTCTCAATCTGCTCAAGGGGTCGTGTGCATGAATTTGTGCACTAGTAAGGGCACTTAACTAAAGCACACCTGAAGAATGGTGTACACTGATAAAAATATCAAATCCATCAAATGTACGGAGAGATACCAGCAGCTGTGGTTGGCAGAATTTTTCTGTAAAAATCCGGAAGTTTTCAGAACTGTGTAAATTTACGGAAAATAACCGTATTTCAGCTGTAACATATTCCAGACAACATCAAATAAAACTATTTCCCATGGCTTAACCTATAAAACACTAGAAACTATACCTGCTACAGTGAGCGCACACAGTAGTCTCTCATTGCCCTTCCGGCTATTCCTGATGAGTTTCAGACACACGGTTATAACAGCAGAGTACAGCATCACGAGCTCCACTAAAGCAGCCTCTGATCTCCATGATGGTGAGGTCAAATCAAACATTTTCAATAACCGTATAAACCTCTGTTCATCATCAAATATTCCTGCAGATATGACGGAACTGTGTTCAGTCTGTCATCAGTGGAGCTGCTAATGCTGATATTTGATGGAGCGGTTTACTTCAGCTGGCTCGGTGTGAGGCGGTGTCTGTACGTGTTCATGTCTCGTTCTCTCCTTCAGGGATTGTGCTTGTTAGCAGCAGGTGTTCATCATTCACTCATCTGTGCGCATTCACTCTGTCTAGTGGACTAAACTAATCGACTAATTTAGGGACTAATGAGGGTGTGTGGTGAGACTTCAGACACTCTGATCAGTTTCTGGAAAACAAGTTTAGATCTGTCACAGCTTTTCCCCGTGTTTAGTCCAGACATGAGCTGAAATCACTGAACAGGTTTCCACTGTAGATTGTGCAGATGTTTACCCTTAAAATCACAGACATTTTTTACAGTGTGGGAATGTTATCCAGATGCTGCGCATGTCTTTGTGTGTGTGTGTGTGTGTGTGTGTGTGTTTTCTCGGTCAGACCACTTGAATAAGAAGAAAAGTTAGAAAATACTAATAAATAACCTTTTGGACTTTTGAACCAGCAGAACGCCTCTTGGCTGTGAGCCTGAAACTTAATAAATAGTGTGAAGAGAGGATTAATTATTCATATATTTGAATAGCAGATCAATAATTAATAGCAGCAGATATATATACAGCTATATACAGCTAAAGTCAGAATTATTCGCCCCCTTTGAATTGTGTTTTCTTTTTTAATATTTCCCAAATGATGTTAAACAGATTCAGGACATGTTCACAGTGTGTCTGATAATGTCTGATCTTATTTCGGCTAGAATAATCGCAGGTTTTAATTCTCTATAAACCATTTTAAGGCTATTATGATTAGAAATGTGTTGAATAAATCTGCTCTCTGTTAAACAGAAATTGACCAACTGCAATGCAGACTTCATCAGGTACTTTATAAATAGCGGAGGATTCTGTGTTTGCAATATTGGGTTATTAAAGCACATTCTGTGCGGATGTTTTATTTTTAAATTAATTTTATTTTGTAATTTATTTATTTATTTTAATTATTATTATTTTTTTTTATTCATTCATTCATTTTCTTTTCAGCTTAGTCCCTTTATATATCCGGGGTGGCCACAGCGGAATGAACCGCCAACTTATCCAAGAGTTTTTTATGCAGCAGATGCCCATCCAGCTGCAACCCATCTCTGGGAAACATCCACACACACACACACACACACACTCATACACTAGTGCCAGTGTAGTTGATCAGTTCCTCTATAGCGCATGTGTTTGGACTGTGGGGGAAACCGGAGCACCCGGAGGAAACCCACACCAACACGGGGAGAACATGCAAACTCCACACAGAAACACCAACTGACCCAGCCGAGACTCAAACCAGTGATGGGTAGCAGCTGGAAGGGCATCTGCTGCGTAAAACATATGCTGGAATAGTTGGCGGGTCATTCCGCTGTGGTGACCCGCTAATGAATAAAGCACTAAGCTGAAGGAGGATGAGTGAAAGCTGCTGAGTGGACATGTTCTGCATGCCAGTGTCTGTCTGTGTTGTGGACTCTATAACTCCGCCCACTGCCAGCTTAGCCAATCATATTTCAGCACTCTGGGTTGCCAGATAGTGGAAACTAAGAAGGCTGCTGCGATGTATGCGGACGCAGCTGTAAACGCGCCCTCTAGAGGACAGCAGAGGAGTCAGCACATGCACATGAGCAGATATTACAGACATCAGCTGAGCATCTTACATCGTAATGCTTGATCATCGCTCACACACGCTCCTGTTTCAGTCGTCAATCTGGCAACCGTCGTGTTCATCGGTTGGTTTTTATCGGGATGATGAGACACCGACAGTATTCAGAGCGCTGTGCTGCGACTGAAGCTGACGAGGACACGCTTATATCTGTACACTGATGACCTGAGTGTGTGTGTGTGTGTGTGTGTAGGCAGGACGTGGTGGACGGCAGCTGTTGGTGATGTGGAGTCTCATGCTGTTCTGCTGCCTGATCTACAGGGAGACGCTTATCCAGACCTGCTCATCGCCACACTACCAGCAGACCAGGTCACACACACACACACACACATTTGTGCAAACACACACAGAAACAGACAGGGGTGCGTGCACAAACATACACATGCTCATATTTGTTCATGAGGAGACTGATGTGTGTGTGTGCGTCTGCAGGCCTCTGACCTATCTCTAGTGCTGATTTCTGGACAGTCGGGCGCTGTGATTGGACAGCCGGTGAACTTTAACCTCACAGCTCAGGGGAAGCTGATTGGTCCACTGCTGCACGAGACATCAAAGGGGGCCTACTACATCCTGTTCGGCCTGGGTGAGTGTGTGTGTGTGTGTGTGTTTGGGCTGTACGTGTTTGTGTTTGTGTGTGTGTATATAAGTGTATTGTATTTGTGTGTGTGTGCGTGCAGGTCTGGTGCAGGGCGTGTCTCTCAGCTACATCTACACCCAGGCCACAGGCGGCACGGCGGCTCGGGTTCTACAGCAGGACTCCAGCTGGGAGAGTCTGAGGAGGAGCAACACATCTGCACTACTGCACATCAGCAGGTGCTCACACACACACACACACACACACACACACACACACACACACACACACACATCCTCCTTCAGCTTAGTCCCTTCATTCATCAGGGGGTTACCACAGGGGAATGAACCGCCAACTATTCCAGCAAATGTTTTACACAGCAGATGCCCTTCCAGCTGCAACCCATCACTGGGAAACACCCATACCCATACACTAGTGCCAGTGTAGTTGATCAGTTCCCCTATAGCGCATGTGTTTGGACTGTGGGGGAAACCGGAGCACCCGGAGGAAACCCACACCAACACGAGGAGAACATGCAAACTCCACACAGAAACACACACTGACCCAGCCGAGACTCAAACCAGTGATCTGAGTGCTGTGAGGACACAGTGCTACCTACTGCGCCACCGTGCCGCCGAACAGAACCATACTAAAAATGTAAACATACAGCTGTACACTAATGATGTGTGTGTCTCTCTCTCTCTCTCTCTGTGTGTGTGTGTGTGTGTGTGTGTCAGTGTGTCTGAGCAGGTGGAGTTCCTGCTCCCCCTGGTGGCGGGTCAGTGTGATCAGCGCAGTGATCTGGACGGTGTGTGTGTGCTGAACCGCAGCCGCAGTGAGGGGATCGTGTTGTGTGGAGCGCGCAGGCTGTCTGTGCTGAGAGCGAGCGACACACACACCACGTGGAGCCTCAGCCTCGCCAACATACACACGTGTGTACCCAACACACATACATACACACACACACACACACATCGGGTTGTGATGTAATTAGTATTTTTGTCAGTTCATTAGTTTATTATTTTTACTTTTGAATATTTACCAATAATGCTGTTTTGACTTGTTTTGTGTGTGTGTGTGTGTGTGTGTGTGTGTGTGTGTGCAGTCGTCCAGCACTGGGTCACTTTAATGATGACGGTGTCCCTGATCTCCTTATTCATCAGTCGACCAATGGCATCAGGAAGGTGCGCATATCATTACCATCTCATTATTTCACACACACACACACACACACACACGTGAGTTGATTGACAGTATGTGTGTGTGTGTGTTGCGCAGGTGCAGATCATTGATGGTGCTCGTGGGCGGAGCCTGTGGGAGGCGGAGTTTGTGTGTCCTCGTCTGGCGGTGGAGGATTCGTCAGTTCTGACCGCGTCTGGCCAATCAGTGTTCCTGTTCTGGGCTGGAGATCCGCTGACGCACACGCTTAACGCCAGCAAGGCAAACATCTGCTCCATCACATGACTGCACATATGAGTGTGTGTGTGTCACGCCTGACCACTGCTCATTATATGTGTGTGTGTGTGTGTGTGTGTCCGCAGGCAGCCGTGGCGGAGCCGGTGCTCAGGAAACTCTTCCTGTTTCACCCCTACTATCCCACAATCCTCCTGCAGCTCAGCAACACCACAGACACCGTCCTCACCGCCACAGGTCTGATCGCTCACTGAAGCGTGTGATTGGAGCATGTGATCGGCCGTTGATGCGTGCGGTGCGATTAATCGTTGATGCATGTGATCGGTCATTGATGCGTGTGATTGGTTATTGATGTGTGCGATTATTGGTTGATGCGTGTGATTGGTTGTTGATGCGTGCGATTAATCGTTGATGCGTGTGATCGGTCGTTGATGTGTGCGATTATTGGTTGATGCATGTGATTGGTCGTTAATGTGTGCGATTAATCGTTGATGCGTGTGATTGGTTATTGATGCGTGTGATCGGTCGTTGATGCGTGCGACTAATCGTTGATGCGTGTGATCGGTCGGTAATGTGTGCGATTAATCGTTGATGCGTGTGATCGGTCGTTGATGTGTGCGATTAATCGTTGATGCGTGTGATCGGTCGTTGATGTGTGCGATTATTGGTTGATGCATGTGATTGGTCGTTGATGTGTGCGATTAATCGTTGATGCGTGTGATTGGTCGTTAATGTGTGCGATTAATCGTTGATGCGTGTGATTGGTTATTGATGCGTGTGATCGGTCGTTGATGCGTGCGACTAATCGTTGATGCGTGTGATCGGTCGGTAATGTGTGCGATTAATCGTTGATGCGTGTGATTGGTCATTAATGTGTGCGAATAATCTTTGATGTGTGCGATTAATCGTTGATGCGAGTGATTGGTTGTTGATGCGTGCGACTAATTGTTGATGCGTGTAATCGGTCGGTAATGTGTGCGATTAATCGTTGATGCGTGTGATCGGTCGTTTATGCGTGCGATTAATCGTTGATGCGTGTGATCGGTCGTTTATGCGTGCGGTGCGATTAATCGTTGACGCGTGTGATTGGTCGTTAATGTGTGCGATTAATCGTTGATGTGTGCGATTAATCGTTGATGCGTGTGATCGGTGGTTGATGCGTGCGATTAATCGTTGATGCGTGTGATCGGTCGTTGATGCGTGCGATTAATCGTTGATGCGTGTGATCGGTCGTTTATGCGTGCGGTGCGATTAATCGTTGACGCGTGTGATTGGTCGTTAATATGTGCGATTAATCGTTGATGTGTGCGATTATTCGTTGATGCGTGTGATTGGTCGTTGATGCGTGCGACTAATCGTTGATGCGTGTGATCTGTCGTTTATGCGTGCGGTGCGATTAATCGTTGACGCGTGTGATTGGTCGTTAATATGTGCGATTAATCGTTGATGTGTGCGATTATTCGTTGATGCGTGTGATTGGTCGTTGATGCGTGCGACTAATCGTTGATGCGTGTGATTGGTCGGTAATGTGTGCGATCAATCGTTGATGCGTGTGATCGGTAGGTAATGTGTGCGATCAATCGTTGATGCGTGTGATTGGTCATTGATGCGTGTGATTGGTCATTGATGCGTGTGATTGGTTATTGATGCGTGTGATTGGTTATTGATGCGTGTGATTGGTTATTGATGTTTGCGATTAATCGTTGATGCGTGTGATTGGTCGTTGATGCGTGTGATCGGTCGTTGATGCGTGTGATTAATCGTTGATGCGTGTGATTGGTCGTTAATGTGTGCGATTAATAGTTGATGCGTGCGATTAATGGTTGATGCGTGTGATCAGTCGTTGATGCGTGTGATTGGTCGTTGATGTGTGCGATTAATCGTTGATGCGTGTGACCGGTCGTTGATGCGTGCGATTAATCGTTGATGCGTGTGATCGGTCGTTGATGTGTACGATTAATCGTTGATGCGTGCGATCGGCCGTTAATGTGTTCGATTAATCGTTGATGCGTGTGATCGGTCGTTGATGCGTGCGACTAATCGTTGATGCGTGTGATCGGCCGTTAATGTGTTCGATTAATCGTTGATGCGTGTGATTGGTCGTTTATGTGTGTGATCGGTGGTTGAAGTGTGTGAGTAGTCACTGAAGCATGTGTGACGGTCATGTGACTGTGATGGTCTCCATGTGTGTGTGTGTGTGTGTGTCTCCATCAGTGGGCTACGCGCCGCAGCAGAAGGACGCCTCCTACACGAGTGTGTCGTCTGTGCCCGTGTCTGGCCGTCAGCCGGCGCTGCAGATGCTGAAGAGTGTGAGTCTGAAAGCGGCCATCGCAGACGCACAGATCCTGCAGCTCAGCAACAGCAGCGCGCACACACACACACACAGCGCCTTCCACATCAACCAGTTCTTCAGACGCCTGTCCTTCACACAGGTCCGAGCACACTCATCAGACTGACACCGAGCCGACATACATCTGCACGTTATTAATACATCTATATGTGTTCATCAGCACTTTATTATTCACACACGTGTGTGTGTGTGTGTGTGTGTGTGTGTGTGTGTGTGTGTGTGTGTGTGTGTGTTTCTCCACAGTGATGATGTTTGGACACGTTCATCATTCCTGCTCTGCATTCCTCTCTGCGTGTGCGTGCACGTGTGTGTGTGTGTGTGTGTGTGGAGTTTCAGCAGAGGTGTAGATATGCTTCATCTGTTTAACACACTTTAAAGGGCACCTATGTTGAAAAATCTACTTTTCCAGCTGTTTGGACAGACACATGTGTGTATATATAGTGTATAGAGCGTCATATTGGGCTGATATAAACACACCCAGTCCTTTTTTTTTTTCAATTTAACAACATAAAAACGGTGGACCAATTAGAGCGGTTCTCAGACCGACCGCAACTTTACATAGGAGTGTGATCCCCCCGCCCACCGAATTGATTGACAGCTGTGCGCATTAACATGTCCCGGTAGTCACCTGTATGTCAACGAGACCAGGCTGCAAGACATACGCAAAGCAACCGGGAATAAAAGCTCTGTTCTGTTCGCTAGGATCAGCGATCATCATCAAATGTGATTAAGAGTAAGTTTCACATGTTTAAAGTGTTTTAAAACAGAGTATGTGTGTAATTAATTACAGCGATTTACTTCAGCTTTACTTCATCAGCACAGCCGCGTGTCAGAACAATTATAAAAGAAGACGCTTCAATCCAGGTTTGTGGACGTTAAATCAGGTTTATTTTGTACATTAACATCACAGATATCCACACAGCACTGGAGGTTAGCCTGTATCCTGACACATATGAGTGCACAAACAGTGCTAAGTGCTGTCTGTCTGTCTGCCTGTGTGCGTATGTGTGTGTGTGTGTGTGTGTGACTCATCAATGCAACTTCACAATACTGATTAGTAAAGGTTAGTTCTTACTGTAGTATCTCTCACAAACACTACGTGAGACCTTCTTCCTTTTAGTCTGTCTGTTGTCTGACGCAGCTGAGGGAGGAGATTAAAGCACGTGGGAAGGCATGTAGAAACAGTAGGCGGGCAGAACTCGCCTTAAAGGCGCAGTACGACAAAACCACCCCGTGCTGGAAATCAGTATAAAACAGCATCTTGTAAAAGGTATCATGAGAAATCTGATGGGTGTTCTGAGCTGAAACTTCATATACACATTCTAGAGACGCAAAAGACTTATATTAAATCTGAAAAAGGGGTAACCTAGGTGCTCTTTAACATGTGTTTAATCTTCAGTCACTGGAATAACACTGACGCTACTCTTCATTATTATGAATATGATTATTATGACTGTTGTTGTCCTGCTGATGATGATGATGATGATGATGGCGGTGCGGCTGGCCTTGTGTCTGTGTGGCTCTCTCGCTCTGGTCAGTGAAGTGAGTTGGTTTGGTTTTGCACATTGAGTTTGTTTGTATTCCTGACTCTCTGTACAGTATTTATAATGGAGATGTACATACTGATGAATGCTGGATGATGATGATGATGATGATGAACAATACAATAAAACAGGAACATTCATCTGGACTGCAGTCACTTCATTTATTATTATGTGTGTTTTCTGATCTCAATATGTGCTCAAATATTTCCTGGATCTTTCTGCTGCAGGCTCTGTAAATATTATTGAGAAACATCATTAATAAATCAACCATCTGCCCTGTGCAGTGTGCTCATCTAGAACTATCATCAGCACTAACAGAAAACAATACTCAGAAGCACCCGATTCAATCTGCTGTGGTGATTCTACAGTTGCTATGGTAACACGACAACTACAGTAATCAGCTGTGGTGATTCTACAGTTGCTATGGTAACACAACAACTACAGTAATCAGCTGTGGTGATTCTACAGTTGCTATGGTAACACAACAACTACAGTAATCTGCTGTGGTGATTCTACAGTTGCTATAGTAACACAACAACTACAGTAATCAGCTGTGGTGATTCTACAGTTGCTATGGTAACACAACAACTACTGTAATCAGCTGTGGTGATTCTACAGTTGCTATGGTAACACGACAACTACAGTAATCTGCTGTGGTGATTCTACAGTTGCTATGGTAACACAACTACAGTAATCTGCTGTGGTGATTCTACAGTTGCTATGGTAACACGACAACTTCAGTAATCTGCTGTGGTGATTCTACGGTTGCTATGGTAACACAACAACTATAGTAATTGATCTGCTTTAGTGATTTTACAGTTGCTATGGTAACAACAACTATAGTAAATAATATGTTGTGGCAATTCTACAGTTGCTATGGTAACACAACAACTACAGTAACTGATCTCTAGTGGTGATTCTACAGTTGCTATGGTAACAACACTATTAATTGATCAGCTGTGTTGATTGTAGTTGCTATGGTAACTTTACAACACATGACAGCTTACTGTAGCAACAAACTAAAATATCCTACAGTATTACAGGTATCGCTATAGTTAATACTAGTTTGATATATCGTTCACATGCTATACTATAAAGAGCAGAAGCGGTCGCGATCATGACTACAGTGAGTGATTTACTACTAAATGAAAATGAAACATTAATAAAGCCATTTTGAGAGCACAGCCAGCAAAATAAACCTCAATTAAAGAGGAAATGCGCGCTTTCTGTCACGTGACCGTTAACCTACATCACCCAACATGTCGTGTTCTGATTATTCTGAGATATGAACTCTACAGTCGGGAGAATATACAGTAAAATACAACACTGTTTATAGTAGTGTACATTCAGTCACACTTTCTCTCTCACACACGCGCCGGTATCATCTGTCAGTGTGTGGAGCTCTCTCTCTCTCTCCGCGCGCACACACACCTCGCTCTCTGTCTCTCTGTCACACACACACCTCTATATCGCTCTCTCCGTCGGTCATGGCGGCGGTGTCGGTTGTCCGTCGGTTCGTGTGCCGGTCGGTGTGTTCTCCTCAGCTCGGGCTTCAGCAGCTGCAACACCGGACCGCAGTGAACACAGCCACCGGCGCCATTCTGGCCAAACCGAAGAAAGTGCGTGAGTAACACGATCAGCCACACACACACACACTGATCAGGTCATACAGAATTACAAACATGTATTGATTATAGAATCAGTGATTATTAAATAAAATAGATGAATATAGAGCGAATGAATGTGGAAATGCGGATAATCTGACAGCTGTGTGTGTGTGGGGGGGTGTCAGTGAACACACTTCACCTGTCAATCAGCGTTCGTGCCTGTGTGTGTGTGTGTGTGTCACGGTCTACCATATGATGTTTATTATTGATGTCGTGTAGATCAGACTAACGACAGGCTCACACTAATAACCCATAATAATGCTGAAAATGAGAGGTATAGATGGTGAAAGTGTACAGATCAGATCTGTTGGTGTATTTTTCTTTCCCGCGCTTCTCTTCGCGCCTAATTTAAAAATCAACGATCATTTCGGACTGAATCAGTTCTTCGATGATCAGTCTCCTTTACTGAATAATCAAAACATAATTTATTTCAGACGAATTTGAGCTAATATCACATTGAAGAGAAAAGTGTGATTTAAGCAGGATATTACATTTAGTCTGTAAATGCTGGTAAAATCTCCAGTGTTGTTTGTGTGGAAAAATATCAGGGTTCTCAGTTAAGAATCAATAATATATCATATTTATTTAATCATCTTGATGGTGCTTAAATAATTTTAGCGGACCAGTGGACGATAATTATATTAGCCTCCACACCAGCGGACAAGAACTATAACGATAACTATATTAGCCTCTACACCAGCGGACGATAACTATAACGATAACTATATTAGCCTCTACACCAGCGGACGATAACTATATTAGCCTCTACACCAGCGAACGATAACTATAACGATAACTATATTAGCCTCTACACCAGCGAACGATAACTATAACGATAACTATATTAGCCTCTACACCAGCGGACGATAACTATAACGATAACTATATTAGCCTCTACACCAGTGGACGATAACTATAACGATAACTATATTAGCCTCTACACCAGCGGACGATAACTATAACGATAACTATATTAGCCTCTACACCAGCGGGCGTTAACTATAACGATAACTATATTAGCCTCTACACCAGCGGACGATGACTATAACGATAACTATATTAACCCTTACACCAGCAGACGATAACTATAACTATATTAGCCTCTACACCAGCGAACGATAACTATATTAGCCTCTACACCAGCAGACGAGAACTATAACGATAACTATATTAGCCTCTACACCAGCGGACGATAACTATAACGATAACTATATTAGCGTCTACACCAGCGGGCGATAACTATAACGATAACTATATTAGCCTCTACACCAGCGGACGATAACTATAACGATAACTATATTAGCGTCTACACCAGCGGGCGATAACTATAACGATAACTATATTCGCGTCTACACCAGCGGGCGATAACGATAACTATATTAGCCTCTACACCAGCGGACGATAACTATAACGATAACTATATTAGCCTCTACACCAGCGGGCGTTAACTATAACGATAACTATATTAGCCTCTACACCAGTGGACGATAACTATAACGATAACTATATTAGCCTCTACACCAGTGGACGATAACTATAACGATAACTATATTAGCCTCTACACCAGTGGACGATAACTATAACGATAACTATATTAGCCTCTACACCAGCAGACGATAACTATATTAGCCTCTACACCAGCGGACGATAACTATAACTATATTAGCCTCTACACCAGCGGACGATAACTATATTAGCCTCTACACCAGCAGACGATAACTATAACGATAACTATATTAGCCTCTACACCAGCAGACGATAACTATAACGATAACTATATTAGCCTCTACACCAGCGGACGATAACTATAACGATAACTATATTAGCGTCTACACCAGCGGGCGATAACTATAACGATAACTATATTAGCCTCTACACCAGCGGACGATAACTATAACGATAACTATATTAGCGTCTACACCAGCGGGCTATAACTATAACGATAACTATATTCGCGTCTACACCAGCGGGCGATAACGATAACTATATTAGCCTCTACACCAGCGGACGATAACTATAACGATAACTATATTAGCCTCTACACCAGCGGGCGTTAACTATAACGATAACTATATTAGCCTCTACACCAGTGGACGATAACTATAACGATAACTATATTAGCCTCTACACCAGTGGACGATAACTATAACGATAACTATATTAGCCTCTACACCAGCAGACGATAACTATATTAGCCTCTACACCAGCGGACGATAACTATAACTATATTAGCCTCTACACCAGCGGACGATAACTATAACGATAACTATATTAGCCTCTACACCAGCAGACGATAACTATAACGATAACTATATTAGCCTCTACACCAGCAGACGATAACTATAACGATAACTATATTAGCCTCTACACCAGCGGACGATAACTATATTAGCCTCTACACCAGCGGGCGATAACTATATTAGCGTCTACGTCAGCGGGCGATAACTAAAGGTTCTGTTGGAGATTCTGAAGCACTGAGACATATAATAGGGGTATTGTATTGTTATAAACAGTATTCGGCTCATAATAATAATAGTAATAACGATGTTCGTGTGATATTCACCTGTAAGCTGAAGTCAGGCCAGCGTTCAGTCTCTTACTGCAGGGTTAGGTCTGAAACATAAAATATTAACTCACACTCAATCAACGTGTGTGTGTGTGTTCAGACGGCATTTGGTCTGCTGCGCATCATGACGGTGGTGGCCCCGTTCCTGTACGTCGGCACTCTGATCAGCAAGAACTTCGCCGCTCTGCTGGAGGAGCACGATATATTTGTGCCGGAGGATGATGATGACGACGACTGACCTCAGGTGTGTGTGTGTCTTTAGTCTCATTTCTAGTCCAAATATGTGGAAATTCTTAAATCGAGAAGCATTTTCCAGACAGGGAATAAACTAACGATGTCAAAATGAAGTGATTTACTTTATTTACCGAAAACATGATTATTCTGCTTAGTTTAAGAGTACTGGCCTTTTTAAGGGGGGAAAACACTGAATTTTGGTTTATTATTTACTTAATTATGTTCACTTGTGTGAAAATGCGTGTCAATTGAGGAATATTTCAATATTTAGACTAGACATGAGACAAAAACCAGTACTGCGTCTAAAGGTAAAGGGGTCCGACCCGGTATTAGTGAGGTGTACCTAATAAAGTGGCCAGCAAGAGAATACATGTTCTGTCAGACTCATCTCTCGGTTTGTCCTCCACAGGTGCTCCAGGTCTTCTCTCTTCACCTGTATGCAGATGCAGGAACGTGTGTGTGTGTGTGTGTTGATCACTCTTCTATAATAAAGGTAATATATATATATGAACAGTCAGACGCTCCGGCCTCGTCTCAAACAGTGCACACGGTTATATGCTCAGCAGATGCAGAATGGTGAACACTGAGTGCTTCATCTGTCATCAAACACTCGGACGTGCAGATGGGGCAGGTGTTTATATAGTGTGCATCACTCATGTAAACATCCAATACTCATTATCATCCCTCACACACACACACACACACACACACACACCTGAGAGAGAGAGAGAGATGTTCCGACACCGAGTGAACCAGCCAGCCGCACCAGTCAGGTGTGTTTCAGATAAATGTGGAGCATGCAGGAGAGCCAACCACAGCTCACAATGATTGACAGGTCTGCGTGATTAGGCCCCTCCCCTTCCTCCATCTGCACCGTCCCCTCTTCAGTACAGTAAAGCACAAACCCACACAGGTGATGTGTTCAGGAGGATCTGCACTGCTTCATCATCTCACTGCTGTTATACCCTCAGGAGAACGGCTGCGTCCCAAATCACACAGCAGCACTACACAGAACACACACACACACACACTCACACAGGCATGAGAGCTGCTCTACTGTGTACGCTGGAAACCTGAAGTGCAGATTCCTTCACACTGAACACCAGCAGATCAGGACTACAAACTCAATGTGATGAAAACTACAAACATGGCGGATGCTAGAGTGATGCTGGAGGGCTGAAGACTGGGCCACAGGGCATTCAGACAGTATTAATACACAAAACTGATATTTACTGCATACTGAAGTGTGTGTGTGTGTGTGTGTGTGTGTGTTTCATCGAGCAGTGTAATGACAGACACTGAGAGACTCAGAGCTTCAGCATGAGTGTATTTACAGTCCAGAAGCAGAATCACAACACACACATCAGAGGTCAGGGGTCAGGGGTTGTGTCCATGGTAGAATTTGGAGAGGAAGTCAGCGGGACGCGGCGCTTCGGTCTCCTGGAAGTAGCGCATGACGTGTGTCCTCTGCTTCCACACCTGGATGGTCTCCTGCAGCTCCATCTTACCCTGAACACACACACACACACACACACACACACACACACAGTTAATGTAGCAATACAAACACACACACACAGTTAATGTAGCAATACAAACACACACACACAGTTAATGTAACAATACAAACACACACACACACACAAACAAACACAAACACACACACACACACACACACAGTTAATGTAGCAACATACACACACACACACACACACACACACACAGTTAATGTAACAATACAAACACACACGCACACACACAAACAAACACAAACACACACACACACACACAGTTAATGTAGCAACATACACACACACACACAGTTAATGTATCAATACACACACACACACACACACACACACACACACACACACACACACACACACACACAAACATGCTTTCCATATCTCTCACACACACACACACACACAGACCTTGATGACGAGCATGTCGATCACTCGAGGGTCCGTCACGTGTCTGTTCCTGTCGAACATTTCTCTAACCTTCTCCCGACACTGCTGTGTGCCGATGTCCAGCTGGTACGCATGCACTGAGAGACACACACACACACATGATCAGGGTTATCTCACCAATACAGATTTGTGAGCTCTTCTGAAGCGAACACACACACACACACACACACACGTCTCAGAGGACAGATCAGCTGTTATTCTGAATAAGAGAGGTAGAGCTGCTGTTGCGCTCACACACTCATACTGATTAATGCTGCACTGAGTATCGAGTGTGTGATGGCCTGATGCCTAGACCCACACGGAATCAGCGCGCGCAGAATTCTGCAGATTTTCAGCCCATTATTAATTCTGTTTATTTACGCGAGTAAATCTGAATGTATTCATCATCAGCTCTGTTCAACACTGACTGAGAACACTGCAGCTGTACTGTGACACAGCCACCGGCTCAGCATATGAGTGACTAGGGGTGTAACGATACACTCAGCTCACGATACAATGTGTATCACGATATAATGTTCACGGTTCGATATGCATCACCATATTTGGAATAAAAATGTAAGATTAAACTGGAATGCAAATATGGTCCTGTATCGCCTCCCCGAAGGGCACATTTGATACAGATGGTGTGCTGGATGCGACGAGTCCCCTTCAGGATGCTGCGTGCTTTGCTGTAGCAGTGGGCTTTGAACAACTCCTATAATCGTGTCTCATCATGAGAGGAGGGAATGTATTGAAAACGAAATAAGTAAACAATGTGAGGAAGTCTCTGAATGGTTTTATCCTTACATTTGTGTAAAACTGAATTTGTTTTATTTGGTTTAGCTGCGAAATTAAGAACATGTGTCGGGGCAAAGATAAAAGCAGGGGATGAAATAATTACTCCAGAACAGGTAGTGAAGTATTTAGGATGCATTGTAGATCGTAATTTGACAGGTGAATAGATGGCTGATATAGTTCATTCAAAGATTTGTTCTAGAATTAAGGTTTTAGCAAGACAGGTAGAGCTCCTAGATACCTAAAAGCTAGTGCATTAGTGCAGCCACACTTTGACTATCCTGCAGCTTTTTGGTACAGCGGTAGCTCTAAACAAATGAAAAATGAATTGCAGACGGCCCAAATTAAGTTGTGTAGAATTACTATGAAAGTTCCTCCACTGACACATGTAAATAATGAACATTATAGTCAAAGTCATTTTTTAAAAGTTGAGAAGAGGTAAAGTTTCTAAAATTAGTGATGGTTTATAGATTTTAAAGAAAACGGTCCCAACATATTTTCTTAATTATTATGTTTTAGTCAGCGAGGTGCACAGTCATTCTACAAGAGCACGCAGCAGGGAGATTTACCCACACAGATTTAACAGGGAATCAGCTAGAAACTCTGTGTGTGTGCGAGCTCTGCTGCTGAGTGTTTCGCCCAGCATTTTTAAAGAGATTCAGATTGAGAGTGTTTTTAGAAGGGAAATTAGAAACTGGTTGTTTTACAGTTGACGTTTTTTGTTGTGCTGAGCTGATGATGTTTGCACTCCATTTATGATTTGCTCGTTCATTTTTTAAGATTATCAAGGAGCACAATGTAAATAAGCCTGTGGCTTTTCTGTGTATTTCATCCTCCACAGTTTTTATAATATTTATGAATTAGTCTAACTGGGCTTGTTTGTATATTTTTGGTAAAACTGTCAAATGAAAATCAATCAATCAAGGGAGGAGGGAAGAATGCAGCCGATGATCGTATGCGCTGTGTTCATAACCCTTTGGAGATCAGCTTTTTCCTGGGCAGAGCACACTGGGATGCAGTAGGACAGCACCCTTACTGGTAGGTCAAGAAGACCTATTATAACATGTAAAACGCAGTATCCCTGACCACTTTCTTAATAATTTGAGTTATGAATTACATGCTACTTGGTATCATGATACTTCAAGCTGTTATAGTATCGTGAGCTGAATTAATGGTATCGAGACAACCCTAACGCAGACTGTCTAACAGAGGAGACGACATTCCAGTGACTCATTATATGACTATTACTATACAAACAAACATATATACATGTTTAAAGCAGACATAAAATGAACATTATACAGATATTAACTGATTAAGTTTGTTTTACATTCAGACTTTCTCCTTAATAATATAGTTTCACATAAAGTATTTGCTAATTATAAACAGTGAGCTGGTATCATTAGGGCTGGTGGTGGTCTATACTCCTGCGTCAGGTGACCCACGGCGCCCTCAGCAGCTGATGACAGCCACAGATAAACAGAGCTGAAGCTGTGTTGAAGTCATACTTACATGCTAATTCAGACTGAACAGTCAGAGTACCACAGTAAACAGCATGAGGAGCTGTTTGAATGTTAAACAAATGACGGAGTCCGGGAATATTAATCTAACTTTACCTCAGTGATAAACTGCTAACTTTATTTCGTGTCGTTAATTAACATAGCACATCTTAACAATACAGAAGCAGTGTTTATACTCATGTTTATACCTGTTAATAACTGATCATTAGCGTGGTTTCGATCGCCTCAGCTGTTATATTGAGCCGCGGTAGAGGTAAACAGGCTCCAGGCTGACCTTGACGCGCGCGCAGAGTCTGTGTGTGTATGTGTTCCAGTACCTGTGTTCGGTGCCTCTCGGTACCAGGCCCGGTAGAGCTCTCGAACTCTCCGCTTGGCCTCGTTCAGGTCGCGGCTGAAAAGCGGTTTCACCACTTTAGCGGCGGCGGAGCCTGTGCGGGTCGCTGCGCTCGACGCCATCTTGCTCCTCTGCGGCTGCACTGCGCATGCGCGGTCGGATGCGCTCAAAACCCAGAGGAGCGTAACTGCGCATGTCCACTGGAAGAATGATCAAAACAGAGGAAGAAAAAACACACAAATATCCTGATCCTGCGATTAAAACATGATCCCAGCCACTGTACGAGCTCGAGCTGAAGAACAGGCGGTGTGTGTTACTCACCTGATCATAACTACTGCTTCAATATTCTCACAAACACCCCACTGTTGAATACAGTAAACTTCATTTATAGTGATGATCACATTCAAAATAAAAATCTGTAATCCATAATATGCGTACTGTGCATATTTACTTTACAAAATAAATGCACGTGTATATATTTCTGAGGAAAAAGAAATATATACATCACACAATGCAGGCTATATATGTGTGTATAATGTATATATACTGCTCTTTAGGGTGATCACATGTGTTTCTGCTCTGCTTAATAGCATTATAATAAGATATATGTGTTGAGGAATTGTTATAACTCTTCTTGAAAGTCA